GAACATCCGGCGAGATGTTTTCGGCTCGGGTTTGTCTTGATGCGTGTGTTGCCGCCGCACACAGATTTATGGTTAGCGCGAGCGAGCAGCGGGCGAAAGTTCATTAACAGATCAATAAAGGACCGAGGCAACTTTCATCTTGCACTGGGGAGCCAAATTATTAATTCTCGCAAGCCGAGAGAGGGAGCTTCCGAACTAGGGGTATTTAAGTAGGAACGCTTGTAAACATTACTGATTAAATTTGCGAAATATTCACAAGGGCATGAATTTTGTGGAAGCATTTAATATTTTTTGCCCAATTAGCGCGTGTTAGAGTTTCTGGGAAAACACATAATTGACGGATTCCAAAAACACTCTCGGCAATTAAGTGAAACTTGAGGAATTTATTTATTTCCTTATAATTGCTCTTTCAATTTCCAACTTTTACATACTTTGCATACAAATATTTTAAAGCAAAGTTACTTTTGAATTTTTTTTGTTTTACAATATTTTGATTCATTAATCGATAATATTGAACATAAATTACATATTATAAATATATAAAATATTGGATACTTTTTAGAAAAGTTTCATTTGATTTTCGAAAATGAGCCCAAACTGAAATAATGAATAAATCAAAATTAGGTACAAATATGAAGTTTTTATGAAAAGAAGCAATATATAATTGGTGTTTTATTATTATATAGTATTTAAGATATTTAAATTTTGCTGAAACACATTGGTCTTTTAAAAACATACAAAAATTTTCTAAATGCTTTATGCGAATTAGGCCTGGGACCATTAAAAATACTAACGCTATGAAGAAATTCAAATTCTTTCATTCTTCATCAGCTTGTTGTAGAAACTGGTTTAAGATAACGCAAAAAATAACAGTAATTTTTGTTCAGTAATAACATAAAATATTTAAAAAAATTTATTACATTTACTTTTGATACACAAAATTTTTGATATTTCACTTCGTCTTCCCTGCAATTCAAAAAAGCATTTTGCGGTAAGCCTGAATAAAGATCCCGCACGCAATTAGCAGCCAATATACTGCAGCAGAAACCGATAAATCGCATTTTGGCTGCACATCGAGGGGGGCTGGTCCGGCTCAACAGCCCCTTGACGCTCGCCGTAAATTGCCCGTCGCGCCGAAAATGTTTCCCAGCCGCATCTACACATACCCGTCCGGAATTAATTTCAACGGGTGTGTGCCATGGCAGTAGGCCAAATTGTGGCAAATTTATTAGCAAACCAATCCTACGGCGCGCTCGCTCATTTTTCCATCGCTTCCTGCCACTAGCCGCTCCATGAATAATTTATAAACACAGCGCCCAGCACACAAGTGCTTCACCTTTCATTTGCATTCGTTCACAGCTCTTTCGTGTTTAGGTGCGAGACAACACCAGGGCGACTTTCCACGCAGGGGCGGCTCCACCGCTTTTGGCTCATAAAATATTCATCAACCTGACGTAATTATTTTTTAGCGACATAATTTAATTTTTCGCAGTATTAGCATATTAAAGAAAATCATGGAAATGAAACGTTTGTATTAGAGTTGATGTTTGGCGCTCATTATGTTTGACTTCAAATAATATTAACTTTATAATATTTATTTTATTTCTTATTTTCTTCAAATTATAAAATCTGTTTGTATATAAAACTCAATTAAACTTATTATATTTCATAATTTTTGGATTAAGGAAATTTAATTTGTTGATATCGAATTCAAATATAATATTGTGTCATGCATACATGACTGTATGGAGTGGAGAATAAATAAATACTGAATTTGAAATGCAAAATTACGGATAAACAGGTTTTTTTTACATAATAAATGTAAATTTACTAATTAAGTAACGCCACTGATTGCTCATCTGGATTGGACGCTTTTTCATTGTACGAATATACATTACGCGCCTCTGGAGCATTCGTTGATTAATTAGACCTGTGCACACACATATAATTGTGGAGCTGCTATGGCGCAATAAATTGATTTCCGTTCCTAAACCAAACTTGCAAAAGTGGAGCTCGCTTTACACTAATTAAGTGTTAAATAACTCTGTTCGAATTATATTTCAATTCTTGGGTCCCATATTTTATCACATGTGAGCAATAAAGAGGACGACTGTAATTATCATCAGAAGGGGAGGAAGGGCAATGCAGATAGCTTGGATAACCTAGAGAGAACTTCCGAGTCCACACGAGCGAAAGAATTGGTATCAGCTAAGGGTGAAAATTAGATGCAAATTTGTTGAGAAAAGTTTGCTTGTTAGCATCTTTTATCTGCAGAGCCCTCTTGTTTGCGAAGCCTGCGGGAAAAATCGACCCACTTTAATTTGCAAATATACTGGATTAAGGACCGCAAATTGCGGCAGATTCCGAGAAGTGGCCGGATTTGTGTGTAATGAATGCGGAAAGAGAAGAAACTTGGCTGGAAGGAAATTTTAATACTTTGAGCTTTGAGTGGGGCGGAAGGAAGTTGTGAAACGGCTCGCCTGTTTTAGATTTTATCGTAATTAGAATTATGATCTACTTTTGACAGATCCAATCTTTCTTAACCTGAGGAACAGGGGAACTTTTACCGACAGTTTGGAACACTAAAGTTTTCATAATTTATAGCAAACCATCTTTCAAAAGCTCCATCTTAATCGTACTTATCCAAATTTCAGCCAAATTAATTTTCAAATTATAACAATCTAATAAAATATTTAGATCTAATTTTGCAACATTGGAAAATTAGTGTCTGGAGTGTTTTGAACGTACAAGAAGCACCAAAATATCCAACAGAGGAAATTTCACGTCTTCCGAGAAGGGAAAATTGCAAGTTCGCACATTGATGTCGGCAAGACCTATTTCTAATTAATCCTATTAGCCAGATGAGAAACATACACACACAAACGCCCCGTTTATTTTCATCTACATAGGCATCCCTTCATGCATGATGTACATTACTTGCTGTGTTTAACGCAAACTTCGCTCTGATTCAGCTCTCGCCGGGCGGGCCTCAGTTTTAAATTAATATGGAAATTTAATCAAATGCTTCGCTAAGCAACAAAAAACTTGATAAGCAGTTTACGCGCACCCATCGGGCTCTCTCTCTCTCTCTCTCTCTCTCTCTCTCTCTCTCTCTCTCTCTCTCTCTCTCTCGCTGTGTGTTAAACTGCCGCGTGTCCCTCTGTTAATTAAAGTGGAAAGGCCTGATGATGCGTGCCCGCCGCTCTGATCTCTCTGAAATTACATACAGAGCGCGTTTCACGATTCGCCGAAAATTCATCAGCGGTGTACACGATGTTAATTTGTACGTACGATTTTTTCTCGTCCGTTAGGATTCCGAGAGTGATGTAATGAACAATTGGCAATTTCGCTCCGGGCACGGTAATAATTCCAGCATTGTGGTGCATAATTAACTGAATCGAGCTCGTGAATCCCTTGTCTTTGTCGACTGACTGTTGAATCACTTTGCGGAATTTGATGTCAACATTGGAACGACAATTGCAAAGATCATTTATTGCGACCGCAAACTGTATTAGTCCACATGGTAACTGGAAATTCAATCTCTCTGATTGTAAATCCAAATTAAAAATTGGTAATATTACACGATTATTTTTAACAGAACACAAATATTTCAAGCATGAATAAAATAAAATTGGTATAAATGTACACCAATGCAGGATTTCATCGCTGAAAATTTTGCCTTATTGAAAAAAAATAATTAATAAAAAATAAATTACTTACTTATTACCAATTTAGAACGCTTTAATTTTTGCACAATTTTTAGAGTTTTATTTTTCACAACTTTTGAACCATTTTCTTTTTAATCATTAATTGATTATAAAATAATTTAATTACTTTAGATTATTTAAGAAAAACAACTATTTTACGATAGACTTTTGTAATACAAAACTAAAAAAGTCACTGTTGGGCTTGGAAAGATAATTTTTGTCTTTTTCTCATCTTACACATGAACTTTAATTTATTGGATCTGTTGCATTTACCCTGATTTTTCGTTTTTCATTTGAATTCCAACTTGTAATTAGAATATTTAATCAGCTTCACTGCCCAGTTTGTAATTCTCTCGGAAATCCTTCGTGAATCGCTGCTCTAATATTGGCTCATCTATCCAATCATCAGGTCGATTTCGTCAGCGAAAAGCCCAATCCAATTAAACTTTAATTATTGAAGCACAATGCAATTTTATCTGTGTAGCCACGGATTAGCCGGGAAATAACAAAACCGCACGCGCACCGCACTTGAGTGTTTATCTATATGTTAGAAAAGTGCTTTCTGTGCCGAGCGAACGGGGCACGTAGGAGAAGGACGGCTTAAGAGAGGCCGGCGCATTAGAACGCTCTCTAATGATAATGAGCACGGGGTTAATTTATAACAGCGGCAAAAAGCTCGTTTGAGCTGACTGCGGAGATGATGGTAAAACTCAAAACAGAGCAAGAGAGAGAAGCAGCAGCCGCACCATCATGGATGGAGTAATGGTCGCAGTAATTAGCGCAATTCTGCATGCACCGGAACTTTTTTTGCCAGCCAATGGTTATTTAATTCATGATTTAGCGTACACTGGAGCGGTGCTAGATTGCTTTTGTGGCCGATATTTAAAGTGGATGTGCTGCAGCTCTAATTAATAACTATAAAAGCGCTGTATTTCATTAGTACTAAGATAATTAAGGTTGGGGTTAATTATATTAATAACAGATGTGACACATTTGTTTTAAACATTTAAAAGAATTTTGCTTTTAAAAATTTAAATAAAATGTATTATAATGGTACAATGTATTAAATTTGTAGCAATGTGGGCGAATAAACAACAATAATTAATATCTATCTAGAACTAATTGTAAATTACATTTTAATTTACTTACACTATAAATTATTTTTAATGATTTCCATCTAAAATGACTGTAATTAATCTCTATTGCTGCTTAATTTGTTGTTTAACTTTAAATGTGTTCATAAGTAATGCATCTACTCTAGTGCAACGATTTGTGTTAATTAAAGCCAGTGTGGTGTATCTATGCAACCATCAGAGCTTATGCAACGTGCACAACAGCTGCGCCGCGCGTGTTGCATACCATTAAATTATCTGCAGTATTGCGCCAAAGCTGGGCATTAATTTGTGTCAGCAAATGTAAAAGAAGAGACGCTTTTAGCAAAAGTTTCGAACTGAATTTCTTTCTTTTTTTATTCAAGGCGAGAATGTTACAGAGTAAGATGCAGCGGTTGTTTTATCTCTGCAAAGTGGGCATCAGTTCCTCTTTTTCGGCGGGCGACGCCTCCTGCTCACTGTCTGGAGGCAGAAAGCGGTGCACCAACGGGCAAAATAGGTCGCGATTTATGGGCTTGCTTTTCGAGTCCGCCTCCTTGCACAAGATGCTGACCAGATTGCCCACGACCAGAACAATCACCAGGCCCAATAGAGTGTAGTAGGTGAAAGACAGTTTCAGAATGGGCCATACATCATCATTATCCTCTTCAAATATGCTATAATAATAATTTACTTTTTATATCTACAGATTTCGACAAAGAAATTTAATGTATGGCTGATATCTAATATTCAGTTTTTCAAGGCAAACCCATCATTTTTTTTTCATTTCATAATTTATTCTTTTGATATAAATATAAAATGTGTTGAAAAATAAAAATAGTAATTTTAAACTCTTTAAAACTACTTGATTGCCGTTTTCATAAATTATTCAGTTAACTGTTCAAATGCTAAAAATTATTTATACAGCTTTATATGAACTACAAATTAAATATATTTATTTTAATTAAATATAATAGGAATCAAGAGGCATTGCTTCATCTTAAGAATTTAATTTATCAGTTTCATGAAACTTTTTTGCCTTCTGAACATAAACGAGTTCCCATCGCAAATCTCAGAGTGTGCGGAAGTCGTTAATTAATAAACCTAAAAGCTTTAAAAATGTCAAAATGCATTTTCCTCTTTGTGTCCCGCGTGGGCCACAAAAGCAAGCTGTTAACACAAACGTACTCGTCACGATGATGTTGTTGGCCGAGAGAGAAGTTTCCAGCAGCGTAAGTGCAATTCTCGACGGACACAGGCAGCGCTTTGTGCACCAGGGCGCCGGTGTGCTGAGCAAACTGCGCACCAAACACCACGAATCCAACAGCGAACAAGGAAATTAGCGAGCCGGCCAAAGCACCCTGGGAATGAACGAAAAAAATTTATAAACCTGCTTTATGCTAAAAGCAATACCCAGAAAAATACAGACTTTGCTATTCGCTGAAGGGAAAAACATTCCGAGCACAAAAAGTCCCAGCATCGGGCCAGAAGTGACGCCATTTAAACTCAAAATGCTCTGAAAGTTTAAATTTTTTTGTAGGATAAATTGTGTTGTTTTAATGCAACTGACTTGCAAGACTCCACCAAGGTTTTCAACTACGTAAACGAGTCCGACGGAAATAAATCCCAGAAGAGCGGCCATGGTTTTGAGCCACGTCCCGGTGCTTATCCTTGGAGACAAATACCCAGCAAACAAATCTTGCACAAGCACTCCGGCAAGAGAGTTCAGTCCAGTAGACATGGAGCTGAGGAGGCAATGTCATACCTTCGATTTTAATATGCAAAACACACGCATCATTCAAGTAAGTCGTTAGAAAGTAGCTAGAATTATTTATTAAAGCTAGAACTGTAAGTTTTTTACCCTACATTATTGTTACTTTTTTAATTAAACTTCCGCCACCAATAAAAAAAACTCTGGATAAACATTTGGAAATTACAAAATATGCTAGTAATTTTTTCTTTTAATTTACTCGGATGGATTAACCTTTCCAATAGTGCTTATAAATACAACATTACAAGTTTAGGGTGCAAATTTAAAATTTATAAATATATCTAGGTATTTTTTTTTTAATTTTATCTTTTGAAAAACTGCATAAAAATAAAAACTGAAAATCAAGTTTTCAACTTTTAGAGTTTAAAAGTATTCTGTCAGTGATAAAGTTAAAACTCGCTTGCATCAAAATTGCCCATGCCAAAGCTCGTTGAATTTTTAAAATTTTAGCAAACTTTGAAGTCGTTCTGATGATGAAGTTATTTGCTTTGAAAACAAAATCTCCAACTTTTAGCTACTTCACTTATTGTAAATAAAGAGTTTTGCAATCCACCAGAAGCTGAAACTTTTATTTAGTCTTTAAAACGCTCCTATACTCATCCATAATTTATTTCATTTACAAAGTTAAAACATTTTGAAGTATTTACAATATAAAAAAGATTTTGCCATTCGAGATGAGATTTTAAATTTTCAAATTAAATTTCTTGCACACTGTCGTAAAATTTCTGAGAGAGGATTGAGTCTTGTGTCTTTTTATTATCTGTTGTGTATGTACTACGTACCTTAATGCGGCACTGAAAACACCGGCTATAAACAAGCCCGTGAATCCGGGAATATGGCCTGCAACATCCATCACAAACAAAGGAAGTAGCTGATCCGGTTTGCTGGCTCTCTACGGCAAAAACGTCGCACTGAGAAACTCGTCTCGGGACTTTTAAAGAACTCTGGAATCTAATTATGCTAACAGACACTTAAGAGAGAAAAAAAATCTTATCGAAATGACGACGAGGAAAAGATGGCGCTAAGAAAATTGTCTGCCGCCTTGGAAACCATCCGTTTTTCGGTGCGAAACAAATCCACTCGAGTTTAATTAAAAAAGTTAGGCCTCAAGTGCGCCAGGTAGTGGAGTGAAAATAATGGGAGCGCGCAAGACTCGTCGGTAATTTAGCTAATTCAGTGCTCCGCGCGCGCGCCACCGCCTCTAAAAAGCCAAAAGTGCAGAATTTTGAGTGCCTGAGAAATAATGGGGTCGCAGTCCGCATAAGAGGCGTAAACCAGAAGTCCGTTCGCCACGCTCAGGAGCAAAGTGCCGACCAAGCCAATCGCGAAAATCACCACCGTCCTTGAAAATAAGAACAAAAGCTTGTAATTACGCCAAATTGCCTTCGTTCGAGTTTAGCCTAAGTGAAATTACACGTACTTGGTGGCCGTCTTGAGGTCTGGCACCGAAAGGTAACGCTGAACGAACGACTGCCCTGTGGCGCAGTCCGCAAGAAACATAAAATACACGCCGACCACCACGCTCCAGAAAGACTGCCGTCGGAACGGGTCTGGGTCCATACTGAAAGATAATTATTTGTACAAAAATAATCATAGTGTTGTTAATTTAAATAGAGGTTTTTTTATAAATAAATGTCTAATTTAAGAAATTTCTTGGATTTTTGGGCTAAATTTTCTTCTTCTTTCTTTATATCTAATTGTAAAAAGCAAAATAAAAAAATTATTTATGTACAAAAATTTTATATTAATATTATTAATCTTTATTGACTTAAAAGGCGACACCATGATGTATTGGCTCATTGTGAGGAAACAAGAAATAGAGTAAAAAAAAAAAACAACAACAATATTAAAATGCATCCAAAAATTGAAAATCTTCTCTATTATAAAGCAACAAACTTCTTCAAACCATTAAATTTGAGCCAAAAATTAATATTATTTGTGTGGCTATTTCTCTGCTAGTTACATTTATTTTATTTCACAATTCAAAAGGAATGAAATAATTTTTTTTTTACAAATTGATATTTGTTCGTTGCTACAGTTATAACTATATCGTTCCTAAGATGAACGCCGTAAAAAAGCAAAAGTTGGCGACGCATTACTTGCGCGTGCAAAAAATAGTATGGAAGAGTTATGAAATTACAGGCCAGATAAATCATGTGTGGCGAGAGGGTAGAAAAGTTTGGTTGATTGCTTTCGAGTAAAAAAGAGTAGGAGGCAATTACTTGAAAAAGCGCAATCTGTCGCCGGCCTCATTGATTTGCCACACACGGCCCCATCCGCCGAGTTTTTCAGCTCCCAGCGTCATCACGAAAATAATTGCGGCCATCATTATGAGAGTCTGCAAGGCGTCCGTCCACACCACTGCTCGCAGTCCGCCCTGCAATTTGCAATTTGTTACCGAGCCGCGCCAGACAATCAGACCGTGACGCGATGATTAAACGCACAGCAATGTTGACTTCTCTATGCATGCGGGCAAAATGAAAACTTTTTACTTGAAGATAAAAAAAATGTGGATGTTATTCTCAATGTCTCATTGTCAGTTGTATTATTTATTACTTAATGTTGTTAAATTTTTAACTGAAAAACATGTTTATTATGCAACACCCCTTAATCTCCTCAAATTGTTTGATATTTATATTGATTTATTTTAATTTAATCTAGCTTAAAATAAGTTAGGAATTTTATGATAAATCTAGATTAGAATAATTTATGAGGTTCCTACATTATTTTTAATCAGGAAAACTTTTCTTTCAGAATAATAATTACCTTTTTCATTTTAATTTTAAGGGATGTTCAGAAATTTAAATTATTATTTTATTTGAAAGCAATAATTTCTTGAAATACGTAGTCTTAGATACATTTGATAAAGATTTGTGCCTACAATTTACCAGGGCAATAATTTTAAGTTCAAATAAGTGGGATGTATTATGTTAAGGAATTATTTGGATTTTATGCCAAATTAAATATCTTTACATATTTTTGACAACTTCTTACAATATGAACTTGGGAACATGTTTTACACTATCATTTCCAGACTGGTTGACATTGTTATTAAAAAAAGTTCCCAGATTTTTAATAAATTCGCTTTACTAAGAACAGAATAACAGAGCGACAGTAAAATTGAATTCAATTTTGGAATGTTCGAAGTAGATATAATGAGAGATTCTATCTGCCTTTTTAATTTAATTAGTTTCTTGGATGGATGAAAAACATGGCTATCAAAATGAGGTTTTTTATTAGTCCCTCCTATAACTGACAATAATTGAATGAAAATTTCAGTCTATCTAAATAAGGGTGCTTGAGGGTGACTAAAATCAGTCTCGTAAGGTGAAATTGGTCATGTCTAAAAAGAGGAATTTTGTAGCAAAAAAGGAATGTTATTCACTCACAAGTGACTTTCAATGGGAGTATTTCAGTTAAATAAATAATGACTTACAGTCAACCTCTACAAAAAAAATGTCAAAATTTGACTCAACATACATTTCAAAGCTTATTGATAGAGAGAGAGAGCTTCGCATCCGCATCATAGATATGTCAGACTCTAATGAACTCTTTTGCGTTGTGAAAAAGTGACAACTTGATAAAAAGCTTGTTTGGCATTTTGTCCGCAACAAAGAGAGCCGCATCAAATTTGTACGTACCAGAGTGGTGTAAAAAATGCAGACGAGGCAGGTAATTGGCGTGACCACGTGTACATTGATACCTGTCACTGCATGAATGTGGAGAGAGAGAGTGTGTGAGAGAGAAAGTGAGGGAGGGCGCGGCGAGGCGCATAATTGGCGTCCGCGATGCATTAATTATTTCAACAAAACGTACCCTGACTGAAAGCGAGCGCTGGCACGTAGATTACCACCGGGATGTAAAACATCTGTGAAATATTCACACCCGCGCGAGAGTGCGTTGAATAAATGACAGAGCTGCGAACTCCACACGCGGGCAATCAATGCCCAGGCTTGCATAATAATACTCACGAGCGCGATGGCGTACATCACGGAACACAACCGACGCACCTTTTTGTTGAAACGCAGCTCCAGGTACTGCAATTGTTGTAATACAAAAATTTAATAAATAAACTACTTTTACGAGTGCATATCAAAAGCTTTAAAATCAAAAAAAGTATAAGAAAAATTAACTTTATAAGTTCTATTTCTGACCTAGAACTTATACTTGTATGCAAAATAAAAAGAAATGTGATAAAATCAGGATTATTTTGAGGTTTCAAATTTATTTTTATATTTATTTCAATTAAAATTTTGTATATTGACTGTCTTTGAAAACGTGCAATTGATTTTCTTTAAAACATTATTAGTCGAATTAAAATATTAATCTTAAAATATTTCAAACTAAATTTGCTTGTATTAATATTCTTGCCAATTGTACTGCTGGGATTGTGAACTTTTAAGGAAGAGCTGGTAATAATTAAGAGAGGCTAGATTTTTTTATTATTATTTACGACTTGCATGTGCTCAAATTTAGTTACTTAAGATGAGTAAATAATAATATAGATAAGAGACGCATCATGAATACGTTCTTACTGATTTTCACATTTTCGGAAATGTATGCCCTTTATCATGAGTTATTGATACTAAAAGCTTAGATAAGGAGCGCTGTCTACTATGATGAAATTTGGCTACTTCTGACACCATCAAGGACATACAACGTAATTTAAATTAGTATTTTTGTCATTTATTGTAATACAAGAAATTAATTGTGCAAATAAAGGATTTTTTCTGCAAACAAAAATGGTTTTCATGCAAATTTATGATTTTTGCCTTTAATTTTCGAAAAAAAAAATCAGTAATTCACATACTGTATAATTATTTTATGAATAATAATAATTTGGAATTTGTAAAAAAAAAGACTCTTTCTAACCTCGTAAGAAGAACTGATTCCCAATTTGGAGTAGATGGGCAGGAAAATCGTGGCGGTTGTCCAGCCGATGAGCACAAACGAGATCGCGGCCGCACTGTATTGGGTCCCGTGCTGATACATCTCAGCCGGGACGCCCAAAAGTGTGATTCCAGACACGAAACTGCGACAAACAAAAATTGCTTTCTTTGATGTCTTTGCCTTTGATCCGGGGCGGCTGACAACTTTTTAACACCAATCAATTGACTGAATTGCCCCTCCGTGCGGAGAATAAGTAAATTGAGTTCAAACCCATTATCTAATTTTTTTTGTCCCTTAAACAAAAACCAACGAACCTTGCTATGAGGGAAATCGACACAGGCAGCATTCCCATGCTTTTGCCGCCCATCAGATATTCCTTGGCCGTGTCCTGTTTTTTCGAGAGGCCGAAATAAACGCCGATGAACGCCGACATGGCCAGCATGAGGGCAAACATCCCGAGGTCGATCCACCCTAGCGAAGGTGGAGCGGCCAGGTTCAAAACAGGGTCGCTCATTTTGCGGAGAGAACAGCTCTGAAGCCGAGGAAGTGCAGAAATGCCGGCGAGCTGTAAATAATATGGTGCAGCAGGAGTGCACGAGAGATAAGCGAGACTTTCTGAAATATTTGCTGCTGCTCAAGATAAAAGCGGCGTTTCATTAATTATTCTCCACGTCTGCTGTGTGTTGTGTGCACAGGCGGCCGTTGCAAAAATCGATTTATGACCGCGGTGAATTGTGGGAAAAAAGTTCCGTTGGATTTTCGCAATTAGTCCATTTGTATTGACTTTGGACGGTATTTTTAGCTTTTGTGTTTTTTGCAAGCGCTAAATGATCCCGTGTTGGAGAGGATAATTTTTAACCGACTATGCCAGTAGCTTAAACAGCACCGAGAGCAATAATTATTTCAGCAGCAGAACAAACACTCACCATGGAGCTACTTCACATTGAATTGAAAACAAACAATGCGCAGCACTTTAGGCAAAATTTTAATTGACCGCAGCGATTTATTTTCCTCTTTATATCGAAACTAATTAGTTTCCTCTCCAATATGCGAGATCCATTTTGGATGTAGAGCCCTTTCAATTTATTTCACATTTGATTTTTTGTATCAAGTATTTGTTTTGTTGAAAATTCACGCGGTTTTAAGTGTAACTCATGCATGCCAGGAATAACAAAAATTTACAAAATATAACGACTATCTTAAATGAGATTGGGCCAATTCAAATTCAATGTCAGTTTGAAGTAAAATTAAAAGTGTTCTAGATTATAGATAATATTTCCTGCGATTGTTCAATTTCAATATGCGAAATCACTATTCTCTAAATTCATGATTTTGGAATTTATCCTTTATTTTTTAAATTTGTCAATATACGTTTTATATTATTTTTAAATTTTATAAATAATTTTGAACATTTATTGGGAATAATAAATAATTATATTAATTATTAATATCTAAAAATATTTTCATTCTGAAAAGGCATTATTCAATACAATTCTACGGAAACTTCCAAAAATCAAATATCCTTACAGCTTAAAAAACACACGCACGTTTTTCTTTATTTGCGAGAAACAATGAAAAATGGATGGTGTATGCAAAAAGCTGAATTTATCAACTCGGGCAGCAATTTTCGCAGCAAAGATGGCGAAAATGGATGCAACGCGCGCTTGAGAAAAACCGAGACGGTTTTTTGTCGCAGACGAAAAACGCAAGATGAATTGCCCTGGGCGTTTTCCACATAAAGCACAACGAATTTTGGCTGAACGAACCCGGCCTGCCTGAACGGCAGACCGACTAAAATTTGATCAATCACACACACTCAAGTGCGCGTTCACTTTCGCAGCTTTCCTGCACACATTATCATCTGGGAAATCTCCTGCTGGATGGGAAATCAATCAGATGAATAAAACACATAAACACGCCCTAATTTATTTTCTCCAGTTTGAATTCCAATGACGCATCAAAAAGTTGAATTGATCTATAATTTCAATCATAATTTTAATTTATTACGTTAAAGACTTCTTTTATGGACTTATTTATTGATAGTTTAAATGCCTCTTCGCACAACTAACATTTTTATTTCATGATTCTTTTTTTGGAACTTATACATTTACTTGAATGATGTTACTGTGGAACAATAATTTATAGTACCAATTACCTAGCTTGAAAAAATTGTATATAAAATTTATGGACATGCCTGTTAAGTCTCAATTTTACGAATTTTACTTTAAAATTGTGGCCGCTCTAAATAGCGGGACCTAATAGTATAAGAAATAAGTCCTAAATTTATTTAACTTTCAAAATATAAAAAGCCAAAAGGACTTTTATGAGAGCTTAAAATTTAATGTATATCTGAGAATTTTCATTTTAAAATTTAAACCTAAAAAGTCATTTTAAATATTTTACTTTTTCACTCGTATATTATTTTATTAAGCCCATATAATAAAGCTATTATGCTTTTATTTTAATATTTTCATCAAATTTTCCGATAATATTAGATATTCTTAAGCAGATATCACTTTTTTTTCTCTCAGGCAGCACACGCGGAAATCCGCGAAAGGAAAAATTGTTGTGCGAGTCAGGAACGTCAGAAACGCGATCCTCTCCCGCACAAAAAGGGGAGCTCCAATTTGGCGTTGTGCGTCAAATGAAAAATACACACACGCACCAATAATGAGGAGGAATGCATTCATCTCAAGTACGAGATGCTGGAGGGTTGCTTGATCTGGCGGTGGCGCCGAAGAGGAAGTGTTTTCTGCTGATCTTGCAGCCAATTTCCTCTGATATCTCCCGAGAATAGTTTCTCTTCTCTCCGGGCGCTGACGAAAGAAACTCCTGTGCGACTTCCTCTTTTTCGGCCCGGCGAAAATCTCTCTCTCGGCTGCATTATTGCGACTTGGCTTTTCGTCGCACACACGCGACTGTCACTACAAATGTGTGTATTTTGACTGAGTGCCTCTCCCGAGCGTGCTTTCCCGCACTGCTCAACCCAGACCAGGCTGCATTATTGGAAAACAAAATAGAGGCAAGAATCGCGCGGGCCCACTCCTTTCCCGAAACTACCTCACATGTGTATGTACCTGTTTCGAGACGCGCGATTTGCATTCCGACAAGCCCTGTTTTTATTTTTTCAATTTTCATCTGTGTGCGCCCCAAAGCTTTTCCTGCTGGCAAAACACCTTTGGGCAAAGCGATATATGAAATAAAATAGGTAAAAAGTCTTTGTTTGATGCCCAAAAATACCAAAGGGTTTGAGGAAAAAATATCGTCAGACCATTTCTTATAGGCTGAAGTTTAATCCCCCAGTTCAGGTTACACAAAATTCAAAGGAATAGATAATCTTGACAACCACAACGAAATTTCAAATTGATTTTAAATTGAAATAATTTACAGCTTTATAAAATATGTTTATTCTCAAATAATTGAAATTAGAGCTGGGAGAAAACATAACAAACTATACTTCTCAATTATTTAAAATAAAGGGGTGTCAGAAGTAATTGAATTAAAACCATATACGTTTTTTTTTTGTGTTTTTCCCACATTCCTTGACGTCATATTATTATTATTATTATTATTTTTTTTTTATATAAAATTTTGTGAAGTATTTGGCTCTTTTGCTGGCTTTCAACAAAATATAATAAAATTCCTAGCATTTTTTCATAATGTGGTATTTTTTAAATTACATGGCATAATGTGAGTTTAATTTGAAAATAAATATCTTGTGATAAATAATTCAAAAATTATAGGACGCGATTTTTTATCAGAAAATAAAACAATATAATACAACTCTACTCTAAAATATGTTTTGTTACTTCAAAGATCGCTTTAAATTTTCCACTGGTGTAAATAATTGGAATTCCTGTTTTAACTTTCCGCCCTTTTCATAATTCTGCAAAATACCAAAAAATATATCATATAAAATGCAGAATATACTCAACGTCAGCAACGTGTTAATGAAACAAAAGCTTGTCACTAAATTATTATTATACTGCACCGCTTTTACTGATTCAAATGTGAGAATGAATAAATTACACTTTCCGATACTATTTCATGCCAGAGAGCTCATCTCTGGTGTAATTTAGAGTAAATAAATATAGAAACGCTTCCTCCATTTAATAAACTCTTTTAGCGTGTGGGCATGTGTTTTAGCGAATCGATAATATGCCACGCTGAAAATTATTAATTAGTTTTTGCCAGCTACAAAATGTTTGCTTTCATTTTAAAATAATATTACAATTATTACCAATACCAAAAACAATTTTTTTTCATTAATTTAACATTTTGTTTGTTTTTAATTATAACGAATATGATGTGTCAAAATTATTTACCTACTGAATTCACAATCATGCAAGCGTTTTACATTGGCCCAATGAATACAATACAAAATAATAAATATTATAATATAGAGATTATACATTTCATGGTAATGATAATAAACTTTCAGGAAAGGCCAGAACGTTGAAAAAGAGGCTAATATAGGAAATAATATGATACACGACATACTTAAAATAAAAAAAAGTGGCATACATTTCACTCATTAAAATATCAAGAGGATTTAAAACTTTACTACTTTTTCTTACGGTGACAAGTGATCAGAGACGTATTTTAAAATTTCATTCTGTAGGTTTGAGGGACTAAAAATTAACACAACTAAAAGCACCAATTGAGCAACATAGTTTAGCAATACGTATAGTTTAAAATTCAATCTCACAAAGGCGTTCTTATCGTTATAATTGTTTTATAAAATTTAATGTTCTTGTTTTATTCATGATAAGTGATGATAAGAATATAATAAAAATAATTACAATATACATCATGCACGGAAAATGGCCTATTTTATTAAATTGTCTAAATTTATAAAAAAAATATCTTAACTCTTTATAATATCTTTTCAAAACTATAATTATTTATAAATTTACTTAACCAGTTTTATCTGTGTACAATATAAAAAAAACAATGGTCGTATTAGTATTTTGCTCTAATTGTAAAAGCTATAGCAAGCACCATCTGTCCGAGCTTTATGCAACCCGCCGAGCTCACAATTTCAAAATTGTACGCTCGCGCTCATGAGCGCAAAGTGCACTCTGCCCATGTATAGAATATAATATTGTGCTATGAATTTGTTAATGAATTATTCTGGTTTTTTGTTTGTAAAATTCGGCTAGAGGAAACATATCATGAGAATTGTAATACAAGTAATCTAACAGCACAAAGTCCTGAAACAATGATCTCGAAAATCTACAACACAAAATAAAACAAAATAAAAGCAAATTGATTGTTGTATTACACAAACAGAGAAAAAAATATATATATTTCTTTCCTTTTCTTTCGTATATCAGCACTATCTAGGCCAGAGTTGAAAGTGTAAAAGGCGCATTTTGTTTTTTGTTTACAATAACGAAATAGGGTTTTTCCTGTTCTGCATAATCCCATTCGTCATCTCTTTCTGTTGAAAAGAAAGAAAAAAAAGCAACGCGCCGGGCACGTTATGATGGCACGGCGCTTATCAGTTTGACCCCTGCTTGACCCTACATTCACCCAAATAAGATCAGCCGAGAAGCTTCAGTCATCAGTCGCTCATTGATGTCGCAGTATGGGTTTATAGCTTAAAACAAAGTGAATTTATACTGCATGCGGTATTTAAAACAAGATCAAAATGTTACTGGTTAAAATCGTTTCTGTGCTTTCCACAAGTCTCTTTTGTGTTGGATTTGCATCAGAGGAAAAACTTGCGCAAGGGGAAAGGTATTTACTTAAATTTTCCAATTATTTTTGTACACATTACCACTTTTTTACTAGCAAATTCCTTTTTACTGCCCCAAATACCCTGACAGTGAATAAGAGCGAGAAAGTCTTGCTGAACGTGTTTGAAAATCCCGAAAATGAAGAATTCATAATTCGTTTGCTCCTGCCTGACAACACAGAACTTTATTCCTATGCCATTAAAAATGCAGGTTTGTCGATATTTTTACGAAATTAATTCAGTTAAGTGTCAATTTAAACTTTTCTTTTGTATAAAAAGAGACAAAAGTGCACGACTTAAGCTTTACCGTGCCAGAAACCGACGCCACATCGGCAATTTTGGAATTAGCGCACGGCGCCAACAAAACTCTTAAGGCAAATGTGAAACTCTTCAAAGAAAAAAGTTTGATGTTCATTGAAACGGACAGGCCGTTTTACAAGCCCGGAGAGCTGGTGCGATTCAGGCTTTTGCACCTAAACAGTCAACTCAGACCCATCAATAAAGATGTTAATTTTTTTACACCTTAATTTTATTTGTACTGGGTGTAATTTATATTTCTTCAGATATGGAAGGTGTGGATTGAAAATCCGAGCAGTGTAAAAATGTTGCAGTGGAAAAACGTTGAATTAAACAGTGGATTTACGCAGCTCGAGATGCAACTCACAAATGAGCCTGTCAAAGCAAGAACATTATATTTAATTTAATTATAATTAAATAACTTCAGCAATATAGGGTTCATGGAAGATTAAAGTTCAGTCGGAAAATGCGTCTGATATTGTGCTAAAGGTCTTTAATGTCAAAGAGTATGTTTTACCCAAATTTGAGGTCACAATTGCGCCACCGGGATACATTTCAACAGGATCAAATGAAGATTACACATGGAAAATATGCGCTAAGTATTTATCACGATTTATCATAAATAAATTTTAATTTTCAAATAAAATTTCCAATGCATAGATATAGTTTTGGAGCTCCCGTTCAAGGAAAAGTAGCGTTGGCGATTTTGTTTGAGGAGCCTAATTACTGGTGGAATAAAAAGAAGGGTGAAAATTCTAAAATGAAGGAGATTAAAAACAGCGTGGTTTGTGTTAAACTTTTTGAAAAGGTATCTTTGAAATTTTAAATAAATATAGCTGAGGAAAGTGGATGGATGCAGCGAGATTATTCTTACCAGTCAAGAAATTGCAAAATATGAGAAAAACCACTTGCAAGGGATCAGGGTCAACGCCACTGTGAAAGAGGAAGGAACGGGCGAAGTGCAATCGGCCAGCCATTATTCCGAATACCATCATTCGACGTGGGTCAAATTTGACTTTTCAAAATCTCTCAAATACTACTACCCTCACATTCCATATTACATGCGGGTAAAAACATTTGGCAACGCAAAATTGATTAATTGTTATCAAATATTGTCGTCTATATAGGTTCGAGCAAATCAGCCCGATGGAACGGCGGCGTCAAATTTGCATTTTGAAATTACTGTGACTGACGGTTTGAAAAAGAGGGAGACGGCAAGTTTTGTTTCTGATGACGACGGGCGGCTGAATTTCACAATTTACACGTCTGATGTAGGCGAAGAGCTCACGGTTTCTTTAACGGTATAATTTTTTTTAATTTTAATTTACAAAGCTTAAAAAAATAAGCATTCAAAATTATATAAATTAAATTTCTTTAGAAAAATTAATAGTCCCTATTATAAATTGAGTAAAAATTACAATTTATTTTCATTTTTCTGTGGAACTGCCGTCAAATTCACGTTATTCTTTATTGATAAAAAAAATACTCTTAACTTTATATTTTTATTAATTTAAAGATTTTCAATGATAAGTAAAACACAATTTTATTTTTCAAAGTGCTCACCACAGCAAGACAACTGCAAGGGTGTGGGCCGTTTTACTATTACACCCTGGTTTTCACCCTCATCGTCTCACATCATGATTTCCGGATCTGACGAAGCGGCGTGCAACGAAAATTATGACTTGGAAGTTTATTACACGTTCCCCAAAACCTTATCAGGGAAAACAATGGAATTCTTTTATCTAGTAAAATTTGTAAAATTATTAAGAGTAAAATTAAATCGCGCGCATATTTCAGGTTCAGTCCAAGGGTGAAATATTGAATAGAGGAAAATTTGATATTGTGCTGACAAAAGCCAATCAATTCGATTCTGACGACGCTCTGAGCAAAACTTTCTTCAAACTAGAACAGACAAAAAACGAGATTTCGGTTGGAAAATGGATTTTAAAACTGAACGTCAAACCAAATTTAGCCCCTGAAGCAAAAATCGTGGTTTACTATGTTTCAAACAGCGAAATTGTCGCATCTAGTCTAAAAGTTGACATAAAAAAGTGCCTTCAACACACGGTTTGGATTATTATTTTTGAAATAGCATTTTTTTTAAATTTTCTTTCACAGGTTCATTCAGAGTTTTCTGAACGCAGAGTTGAACCAGGGCAAAAAGTAACCCTTTCATTGATTGCGGGCGCAAATTCGCTGTGCGCGCTTTCTGCAGTTGACAAGGCAGTGACTTTCCTGGACCGAAATCGCGCATTGAGCGTGGAAAAGGTTTTTGAGAAACTGGAGCAGATCGCTGCTAAACCTTCCGAGCAATACTCAGAACAAGATTTCATGGTTGAACGCTGCTCCACCGAAGAAGATAGTAAAAAAATTGTTAAATACAAAAATAAATAAATTTTTTAAAGCAATTTTCTGCAGATTCTGCAATTGAGAGACAAAAACGGTCTTCCTATATGGTGCCCAAAATACCGTTTGGAAATTCAAAAAGAGCATTTCTGGTAATAAAATTTGCTGCGTGAATGTAAAAAAATGTAAATCTTTAATTTTTTAAGGATGGGGGCATGTTGGTCCTGAGTAATCTAGACAACAACATCAAGCCATGCCAATTTGGAGAGATTGGCGAAAATTGCGATGAGTGTCCTATGTGGGACTATGATTGGGATGCAATACATGCCCGTTCGATAGACATGGCTGATTCGGATTATAGGGATCTTGAAAGGCGGATACCAAAGAGAATGAAATGGAGAACGCTACTTTTACTCCCACACTCCATAGTAGAGCCCCCTCCAGGCAAAGGCAAGTACAAGTATTAATAGAAGTGTCTAAATAGGAATTTCAACAATATTTTTTTTATCAAATTATACTCTTCAGAAGAAATTTCCGACGCAGTAGAAATGCGGACAAATTTTCCAGAAACCTGGCTTTGGCAACTGGAGGAAATAAGGTTTACATTTAAAAAAATTTCAATTGAAATTTTCGCAAACTCTCGTTGTATTTTTGTATTCAAGTGAAAGCGGCTCGAAAAATATTGATTTGGAAACACCTCACACCATCACTGATTGGATTTTGAACACAGTTTGCGTTTCAAGTGATGAAGGCTTAGGAGTTGCTCCAGAAACCTCAGTAAAAGTTTTGAAGCAGTACTTCATGGACTTCACCCTTCCATATTCCGTAAAAAGAGGAGAAACTCTGCCCCTGAAAGTGTCTCTGTTTAATTACATCACCCACGACCTTCCGGTGCGCAAATTTAACATTTTTACTGTTCAATTAGATTAAATTTTTTACATGATTTTTAAAGATTACTATAACTTTTGGACAATTCTCCGGTGGCAACTTGAAAGGTGAGACTATTTTCTCCGCGTGTCTCCGAAGCAAAGACAAGTTGGTTCACACTTTTGAACTCGAAGCGAAAGTTCTTGGTGAGCACAATATTTCAGTCTCGGCTGGAATTAATTTTAACGATAGCAACTGCGGCCCTGATGTACTTGTTAACGCGCGGTAAGCGTGAAAATAATTTAAATATAAGATGTAAAAAAAATTTCATTTGCAATTATTTCAGGGATGCGGTAACAAAGACGATCAAGATAAAACCAGAAGGGTTCCCAGTTGAAGTAACAAAATCCTTATTTTTGTGCTTGCAAGGTATGCAAAATAATTTATTTTCACCAAAAATGTATGAAAAATATTTAAACCACGAAATATTGTTACACAAACATATATTGTAAATTTAAAAAAAATCATAAAATTTTCATATCTTTAAACTTTCTGAAATACAAAAAGTTTTTTTTTATATAAAAAGATAATCAGTATTAAAAATGGGAAAACTGTCTTGCAATTTGTGTAACAATTTTAATAAAATAATTGTTTTAAATTTGATATTTTAAATATTTGGTCCTTTTTTAACGAAATAAAATAATTTTCACACAGAGATTATTTTCCAGACGTTGGTGAAACCGCCTATTTGAGTTGGCACCTGCCTGTGCCTGAAAACTCGGTGCCCGATTCCGCCATTGGAGAGGTGTCTGTTATAGGAGACTTGATGGGACCAAGTTTAGAGGCAAATTAATAATAATTGTGATTCCATTTAACTTCCACGCGTCAATTTTTAATGTTCTCCCCAGAACTTGGACAGTTTGATTCGCCTTCCCACGGGTTGCGGGGAGCAGAACATGGTGCTCTTCGTGCCTAACCTGGTGGTTTTAGATTATCTGGGCGCGACCGACTCGCTGACCCAAAGCACCAAGTCCAAGGCGGTGGCTAATTTAGTCAAGGGCTATCAACGAGAGTTGACTTACCGACACGACGACGGCTCGTACTCGGCGTTCGGCAAGAACGACGCGACGGGCTCTATGTGGCTGACAGCTTTCGTGCTCAAGTCATTCTCGCAGGCAAAGAAATTCGTCTTCGTGGACCAGAATGAGCTCCAGTTGAGCGCCGACTGGATCCTGAAACATCAGAAGGAAAATGGTTGTTTCAGACAAATCGGCTCGGTGTTTAGCAAAGAAATGAAGGTTGGTAAAAGTTCAAAATGCATAATTTTAATGAGATTTTTTTTTCTTTTCCTCAACAAATTCCTTATTTCTGAAAATAAAATCTTGCAATATTAGAGAAAAATATTAATAAATGTTATTGAATGAATGAATGATTAAATGAATGTTTTTTGATAATTAATTAATAAATTAATTTTTAACATTTTTTGTTAATTATATTAATTAGCGAAATAGCCTACATTTTTGAGAAATTTGTAAAGAAAATCGTTGTGGAAGAGAAATTGATTATGATTTAATTTTTTATTCTTTGCTTAGAATTTTTTTTAGTAAAAACTTGAAAATAATTTTTTTTATTTGACAGGGAGGTGTGGGAAGCTCGTCAATTGTCGCATTTTCTTCGTACATCATGATCGCCATTCTCGAATCAAAGATCAACATAAAAAAGCAAGTGCTGGAGAGCGGAATTTACTGTTTGACGAAAACGCGAGAGGAAACTGACGTCTACGCCAATGTTGTATCTGCCTACGCCTTGCAACTCATCAGAGAAAGGATCGAAACCACTTTGACCAAAAAAGCAGCGAAAGATTCTCTCGAGCATATTTTAACGTTGGTCAATTCTGGCAAAGAGGGTGAAATCTTCTGGCAAAATGAGGGTATAAAAAATACTCATGGCTTTTAAAAATTCATTAATTCATTTTTTAAGGATCGTCAAACTTGGCCCTCAAAATCGAAACGACTGCCTATGCAGTTTTGGCTCTTATATCGGCAGGTGGGGAAGAAAATATGATTCTCGCTTTCAACGCTGTCAAGTGGATTTCAAAGCAACGGAACGGTCAGGGCGGATTTGTCTCTACACAGGTGATAATTTTTTTTTTATAATTTCAATCAATATATAAATTAAATTTTATTTTATAATTTAATTTAATTTGTTTTTTTCAAAATTATCTATTTAATGTTGTTATTTTTTTAGAAAATCGTTCGAAGCACTCTTAAATCAAAATCCTATTAGAGTTTTTCTGCTCATCTATACTTATTTGTTGTTGTTTTCAGAGCAACTGTTTTTGAAGAAATTAATGGTTATATTAATGGTAATATTTATTTTTCAGGACACAGTCCTTGCTTTGGAGGCGCTAGCGAAGTACGCCATGGCGGTGCCATTCAAAGACGTGCAGATGAAAATTCAGGCCACAACTGACGACAACAATATTTTTGAGTTTGACATTAACCCTGAAAACAGGCAGATCCTCCACCAAAACGAAATTCCCTACGTTCCAACTAACTTGCACTGGACAGCAGAGGGAAAGGGCTGCAGCCTGGTCCAAGTGAGAAGAAAAATTAAAATTATAAATTAAATGTTAGAAATTTTCCTTAAAATATTTTTCAATTTCTAGAGCACCCTTCGATACAATCTAAAAGAATCGACAGAAGTAAGAAAGGACGCGTTTACGGTGGGGAAAAAAGTTTCCCACATTGTGCCTGGATCGTGCAAGGAAATTTACCTTGAATTCAACATGTCCTACAACCTGAATGACGGAGCCTCCAATATGGCTGTTTTGGAAGTGGAAATGATCAGTGGTTACGAGCCAGATAAAATTTCTCTCGAAGAAATAAAAGTTCACGTGCCAAGTGAGTTTTAAAATTTTCAAAACGCACAATTAAACTAATGATTAACTTTCATAGCATTTAAAAGATCGGACTATGAGGGTGGCAAGGTGCATCTGTATTTTGATTCAATTGATAGCTCAAATCCATTGAACTTTGGGTTTGTAATTGTGCAAAGAGTACGTGTGGAAAATGTCAAGCCAGCCCAAATAAAACTGTACGACTATTACGAGCAGGAATCTTTTGTGCAAGCGGTGAGCAAAAAATCCCACAATGAAAGCTTTTGAAAATATAATATTTTGATAAATTATTCCAGGATTATGAATTAAATTGCAACGTAGTTCCTGGAGCAAATCAACCAAACACAATTGGTAATTATGATAAGCGTTTCCTAAATATTCGCAATGCAATTATGTTTTTATTGAAGATCAAGCTGCTGATGAGCCCAATTCGGTCAATGGGAACAAACTAGATGACCGATTCAAAGACTTCAAAAACGTAGATTTTGACTTAGATTTTCCTGACGGTGACGAGGGACCAGTGCCAGTGTACGTTCCAGCACCAAATGTTCCCTAATTTATGAGTGAAAATTGTTTTACTATTTCCATTGTAAAATTTTCTATAATTTCGTCAAATAAATAATATATTTTAGTAAAATTATTACTATTATTATGATATTGTTATTTCATTATATTCAATTTACACACGATATCTTCTCTTTCATTCTTAAGAATGCAAGACCTCTCTGTCAAGATCATGATTATTTTATGATTACATATCTTTTGCAATATTTTTGATGGAGAGAAACATGTTTCTATGTGTGGTATGTAATTATTAAATCGATTTGGGGCCAGACATAAAATTTATAAAAAAAAAAAGAATTAAATTCCAAAGTTTTTTAAACACAAAGCGTACTCACTTACCAAAAGGTTTTTTGCAGACTTGCAGGGATGGAAAAGGATGATCACTGCTGACACCATTATGTCCACATACTCCACATAAATATAAAAGTCCTCACAGCCATGAGCCAGACGAGCCAGTGCAGGCCAAAATTAAAGGCATTTGTGAATTATAGGTGACTAATATGATTATGACTTTGCATTTTATGTTCGATTCTCACTTCAATTGGGCCGAATGTACTACGTTGAGCGAGGAGCGACAAGCTTGAAAGTCTTGAAACACAAAAAACACACGCACCAACAAGAACACGCACGTTTTATACATGCTCTTTCCACCTCGTTCCACCACCGCGGATCGCGGGTCCGCTCCTGTTGCCCCTGTTGCTTTCCACTAATCCACATTCCAACCCACATTCCATGGTGTACGACTGCACGAGTGCACGGTGTGCAGACGGGGCATATGCGAACCAAGGTACTGTGCGTAGTGCGTACCGGGTGCGTACTGTGGCGGCAAATAATTTGTTTTGTTTCTAATTGGATAGTACGTTGTGGAGTTGTATGCATGACAACTACTTACAATACTAAAGTCACAAAATTAAATTTTCGCGCTCTTTTTGTACAACTCCTTTTCATACAACTACGGCCCAAGCGAGTAAATTGAGTAAATTGTTGTTACTTGTTGTTGGACGAGCGACTGCAAGAATGGTTTGATCGCGTTCGAAATGTGACAAAAGCACAGTTTACATATCTTCGGAAGCCAACTGATTTTGATACAATCAAGATGCTCTCGGACATTGAGACGTCCCAGCTCACAGGGCTGTTGACAGAATTGAGCGTTCAGGACATCCAGGCCCTGGTGAAAACGGTCACGAATACGCTGATGATACCCAAAGACCACGATGGTAATTTTTTCCCTTTTTTCACGCACGCAAGCTCGAATTCTTACAGGCGTTATTTGAATTATTCGCATTTATGAGCCGATCATTTCATTTGGAATTTTCTTTACAGAGGCTGTGAAAATCATTCTGAGGTATTCTCCGTCAGTTTCGTCCGTGCTGAGCCGGCAGAAGATCACAAAGGAAGTGATTTTTCGCCACTGCCACAAAATGAGCGTTAAGGGTCTGAATCCTGGAATGACCAAAGCTAAAATGATCACACTGCTGGGTGATCATTGGGAGAAAGAAAAGAAAAGGAAAAGTCGCCAACTACCAGAGGAGAAGAAAAAGGGCAAATCAAGTGGATCAAGCGAGAGGACTGTGACCATCGTTGTTGGGTCCAGGTCGAAGACTCCAGCTCCAGATGCTGTCAAAGAAGAAGATAGTGAGTCGTTGAATGACAACAAAGAAAAGGAGAATGACACAGATGAAGAGAAGGAGACAGTTGAAGAGGAGAAAAAAATCAAAGAAGAGAAAGAGGATATAAACAAAATAAAACGCAGTGAATCAAAGCCCTCTGCAAGCATTGCCAACAAAAATACTGAAATAATAAAGGAGCAGGTTACTGAGGTTTGTTCGTGGATATTGATTTTATTTTCAATTTTATATACATAATGTTTCAGGAGATGAGTGACCATGTGGACCAATCAAATCAGATTTCTCTCAATGCTGGAACCCTCTATGGCAACCAACTTCAAATCTATCACCAATTTCCTTCCAGCACCCTGCAACTTTTCTCTGAGACTTTCGTAAAATGGTTTTATGATTTGCTCAACAAGGGAGTTTCTGATAGTGGTCAAAAGTTTGGTCCAGAACACTTCTGGCCCGACAGCTACCTCAGTATCAAAGTCACTGGTCCAAATCTGAATGCCATAGAGGTAATTGAAGTAAAAGAAATTAAAAATTGTAAATTCATTTGCAATATGCTTCTGTTTCAGGAAAGACAAACTGGTCAGGATTCGTGCAATCTTCTCTGTCAGATGAGGAACCACTTTGATGTGATTCTTAATCCAAACATCTCTGCAGATGGTGTTGTCTCGCGAACCGAAAACCACGGACTGATAAATATTGTGGTCTGCGGCACTGCTCACAGGAATGATCTTTGTGTTGGCTTTTTCGAGCAGAGCTTCCTACTAATCAGAGATCCATCCATGGAAAACAATTGGAGAGTCAAAAAGTCTCTAATGCAAATGAAGACTACCATAGATGGTAAGTCTGGAAAGCCTGACGTCAGTACCACAAAATACTTCATTCCCTTGATTCTCTAAATGACTGATTAGAAGTTGACCTAAGACACATTTGGTTTTAGTTCAAAGGATTTGATTCCGGCTGTCAATAACACAAGAGGCTAGTGCCATACAAACAACAAGTGATTTAAGAAAATAAGAAGATAATTATAGTAATTATTAAACTAACAAAGAAGCATGTAAATAATGCAAAAGTGCCTCCAATGATCTGCATTCTAATCATTATGACTGATACTTTTTGTGTGCATCCTAATTGTTTATAATCGGCTCATTACCCGATGGAAAATATAAATTAATGAAAAAACAGAAGCAAACAGGAAGAAATTTTCATAGATAAATTAGATGAATTATCAACAGAATTAACTTCATGGTAATTGTGTCTGAATTGACATTGTTGTATTGAAAATGGGTCAGATTGATTTTTGTGGCAGTCATTAAAATTCAACATAATTGATAAAAATTTAAATATTTGGTTGTAAAATAATTTTTGGGGCATTGCTTTCAACATGGCTATCCCAGGATTTCATGGAAAATCTCCCATTAAAATACCTTTTACGTTTATGTAATTCTGGTTTTATTAAGTTGATCTCTCTAAAATTCTTCTCTTAATTTCATTTGACATCAATTCGCGTTCTCTTCGTGCTCCTTTCATTATTGCTCTGTTTTCGGCAGCTCTTCTTGCCAGGTAAGGAATAACCTGGTGAAGACTGCCAAATGCCACCGACTTGTAGACCAAGTAATTGGCTTGTGCTGAAATTTTTGATTTTGTACAATTCATTTTTACATTTATGAATAAATTTGCGACAAAAATACTTGAATGATTCAATTTTAACTCTTACCCAAAGGAAGAGAGATATTCTCGGCCATTCCGTAAATTTGAGCAAATGCGACATTTACATGATCAGAGGCTTGTAACTTCTGAAGAAGCCGAGTTGCAATTTTAACTGTCTCTTCGTTGTGGGTTGCAACTATTATGAAATGCTTCTCTGCTGCAGCCTTTGTGGCAATTTCCAACGCTTGAGTCATCACCCTTTATTAATTAACAAATTTGAATTTGATTTTAAATTTAAATTTAGTAACCTTTCATAATTATTGCATGTATCTTCGTAACTCTGGCAGACCAAATCAGGTGCAACTTGCAACTCCTTCTCCAAGTATGCGCCGCGCACCAATTTAGCACCATAACAAACCTGAAAATATTCCGCTACTTTTCGTTCCCAGATAATTGTTTCCATCGCTCCCTGCAACACAGCAGTTTAATTTTTTACTGATATAATGATAGTTTTATTTTTCTAATCTCACTTTCAAGTAGCACTGAATTGTTGAGCAAACTGCTGGAGACTCGCTGTTAAATATTTTCATGAGAGCTGATGCGAAAGCCGAACATGCTGGGTTTACATAGGTCCATTCCATATCTACAAGCAGTCTGACGCCAACCTCCTTTGTTTTCAATCCTAAAATCAGTAAACATTTCAATATATGAGATGAATGAAAATTTTTTTATTACCAATTTTCATCAAGCGTTCACTTGCTTTTATTAGTTCAACTTGAAGTTCATCTCTCAATCCAGGCACAATGGTATCACTTTTGACGCCCATCATCAAGTTTGAAAATTTTTCTATGATCTTCAGTTTCTGCGCCTCATTCTAAAAGAAAATTAAAAATTCTTAATTTGAAATTTCGTTATAATTTTTATGTAACAATTTCAAGGATAATTTTTGAAAGGTTAATAAGAAGTTCCGTCGGAACAACAGCGGTCATTTTCATCTGTAGGCAAGCTGGTTTTTCCATTCCGCCAAAGTTCCCCTGAGCAGTCAATTCTGCTAGCTTCAAATACTCATTCAAATTTCTATCCTGCAAACTTTATTTTAAATTGAAATAGCTTTCCGGCTTTCATCCACGTTTTGAACAGCACATACTCATAATTGCTTTTTTCTCCTACGTCCGATTCAAGTGCTGGCGCGACCATCAGGGTTAGGTCCTGTTTTCGAAGATTTTCTGCAGTACGAATAACAGCAGGTCCTGTTTCTCCAGCAACGAATTGTCCATAGAAGGTTTTCTGCATGACTGCTTTGAATATTTTCAATCCCAATATAGCTTCACCCGCTCTCATTAGCTAAATGGGAAATGTTTAATTTAATTTAAGTCATAAGTTATTAAAATAAATGTGTTTTACTTTCAGTGCATTGTCAACTAAAATATCTTGAGAGCAAAGGGCCAGAATTGAGCATGCCCTGATTAGGTCTGCTGTGCTTTTCGATTTGAAAGCTTGTCTTGGGTTGTCAAAGTTAGGCACTGCATTTCCAACCGACGTCGATAAACTAGAAAATGAGCATAATATTATCTTATTTGGTATGATTCAAAATTATTTAACTATAACTTACCAAGCCACAGTATTTTTAATGTAATTCAATACAAAAAGCTTAGATATTATTTTTGCCAAAGTCATGGTTTTAAATAATTATATAATTCTAGCCGTTCAGTCTGCTTTCGAGCGCAGGCGCCTCCCACGATTCCCAAATTAACCCACGAATCTTGCTAATTATAGATAGGGGCGCCGATGAGGAGCCTGCTCAATTTTTTTATAGGATTATTTATTCTTTTTTTTCCAAACAACCAAGTTTCCATTTAAATTTTTTTGTTCACTTTATTACTCAAATCATCTCCTGTTCCACGGCTGATTATTCCATGGATCTGCTTCTTCAAAATTTTGCCTGGCTAAGTGAGGATTGAATTGCGAGTTGTATTTCTGCTTGATTTGAGGCGACTCTTCTTTCTTGGGTTTCGGTTCTTCCGGCAATGGCGTACCATTGACTTTTGCCAACAGAGATGCCGCTTTGGCACGTTCAGCCTGTTCCCTCGCAATTCTTTCGGCTCTCAGTTTTTCAATGGAGCTTTTTGGCTTTGGATTTTCTTCTTCGCTTTCACTATTGGACCGTTTTCTTTCTCTCTTGTGCTTCTTGGACTTTTTCTTTTTCTCCTTCTTCTTTTTCTTGGTCCGTCTGTCTCTTTCTTTTTCCAAGGAATGCTTCTTTTTCACACTTTTAATGCCGAGCTCAGTCTTAATCACGTTTTTTACAACACTTGTGTCATTCTGTTTATGGAACTCAATTTCCCTCTCCTTGAACTCTGGCTTCTTTATTCCTGAGAAGGCAGCAAAAATTCGAAGAGGATCTTCTTCAATTTTCTTCTTCTTGCTGTTCCTGCTTTCTTCCACGTCTCCCTCTTCAAGTCGAAGTGGTCTTTTCTCATACCAGGATTTGATTCCAGTAGACTCGACTGTGTCCTGGCCTAAATATGTCAGATAACCAATGCTCTTCTCATACTTTTCTTGTTCTTCCTTAGCCTCCTTCTCATGTTCAATATTCTTTCCTGGACACGCACGATAAAACTTTTAATAAATAAAATTTATAATTTTAAGTATTTCCATTACCAGAAGTTTTAGATGGACCACTTTCTAGATCTTCAAAAAAGTTTACGTGGCCACTTGTGCTGGTCGCAGGAGCTGCTGGAGCTTTTCCTCCTTCTGTTTTGCCTGGTCTCCCATCATATCTTTCCCTGACTCGGTTCCGTAGTATTTCTGTCCGAGCTTCTTGCTCCTGTTTTGAGATTGAATCAGTTTTTGCATTTCCTCCATAACAAGACTTAAAACTTACAGCCAAAAGTATCCTTCTCTGCTCTTCTTTTTTCTCCTCGGCTGCTTTGGCCTCGTCTTTCCGAACCCGGGCAATGTTCTTTTTGGTTCGAACATGCCAGCTGAGCAAAAAATATTTATTTATTAGAGGCTGAAATAAAACAGATTTTTTTAATAAAATATTATATTTATGTACCTTTTGTGTGGTAAGATGTTCATCTTTCTGAAATATTAATGAAAGCGGCCCAGCTAATCGTGCATAAAATCTGAAAACCCTTTTTTAGCCACAAAGTCGCACCCAATTGCAGTTTTCCTTTGGTGATTTGATCATTTGATCCTTTGTTTATTTTTATTCGAGGTTACGCCCCTCTGACAACACACATGCGTGTCCAGCGGCCATCTTAGATTATCACCATTTTCGCCGCTTCCCAAGGTATCGGAGAACGCGTGTAGAATGGCCACAAACAATTATTTCGGCTTTACTCACGGCGGAACTCAATACGGGTAAGACAGAATTGCTGGAATATTAACTTGAACTATTAATCTTTGCACTTGCAAAGTAAAATCACTGGAGAAAGTGGATTTTTAAGCCGCAAATTGCGATCAAAAATCTCGGTTTTTGATTCCCCATTATAAAGTGCCATAAAAGCACTATTGATTTTCTCCTGTCAGTGCATTTTGGTGCTTCCGAAATCATTAAGAGTGGTGCACATCAATATTTTCTGATTAAAATTGTGGATCCGCACATCAATCGACGTGATCCAGATTATCCAGAAAATCATTTCCATGTATTTCGAATTTTCTGATTCCTAAGGCCTCGCTCGTGATTGAGCCTAAGTCGAGCCGGTTACATACATTATAGTAGTTGTGTACGTCACGACGGTGAATTTTAATGATAAACAATCTTTTAATTATTTGCTGCAATGATTACAATATAATCCGAGCTCTTTGAACTACAATGAAATAGAAAGCTTGTTCCCAAAAAGCTTATATGAGCAGCTTATAAATTATTATGTAATTATGTATGTAAATACAACACACGCAATGCTATGTATAAATTTATTCTAGAAATATCGATGCGTTTTCTGAAAAAAAAAGTTCTTTTATTTCGACTGGAAATACAACGAAGCAGGTTTCTTATCGATTTTTCACCATTAAACTGTTGTAGTACCTCAGGAGCGGCCGCATATCAAGCAGCAGCAGCAGCTTCCCAGACCGGCTATGCCGTGACCCCAGCGTCCGGCGCACCAGCCACCTACCAGACGCAGAGGGCTGCGACCACTGGCTACGAGAGTGCCTATCAGGCTGCAACCACCCACACGGCCCCTGGCACTTACGGTAAATTACTTCGGTCCTAATAAATCTGGAGTTGAGCTTTTCATTGCAGTTGCTGGTGGCACTACAGCGGCCGGGACAACCTACGACTACGGCTATGGCCGACCTGCTCAATCCACTGCCCCAGCGTATGACGGATCCAAAACTTACTACCAGCAGCCAGCCGTTGCAGCCACTGCGTCAGGCACCTACTCTGGTGCTGAAACCCACTACCAAGGTAATGCAAATTCTAAAGTAGTGGGAAAGTCTGACTGGTAAAAAGAATTGCTAAATTTAGGTCAAAATTACTTGAAATAGCAATTTTAATACCTGGCTGAAATCCACCTTTACATTGACATGATGAAACTCCTAGCTTTTTGAAATCTTCGCTGAAAAACAAAAAAGTGTTCCCAAAATACATTATCTGATCGCCACCTGATATAGTTAACCTTTTATCATACCTAGGGCCCATTTATTTTCACAGCCAAATTTTCAGCTGCTGCCAAGCCAGCGTTCAGCACTCCGAGCAGCAGCTACAATGTGACCACAAGACAGGTGACTCCGACCACAACCCCCAAGGCCACCAACGCTTACGGCAATGCCGGCTACAATAACCAGGGTGCTGGAAATTACGCAACGGGCTACGCAGCCCCTGCCCAAGCCAACAACACTGGGTACGACACAGCGTTGTACAACGCTGCCACCATGTATGTGCAGCAGCAATCACAAGCTCAGGTCAAGCCTCAGACTGGGGTGGCCAACACATGGCAGTTCAAGAAAGGAAACCTGGGCGGACAGGCGTGTAAGCTGAACAAACCTAAACAGCCCCCAAAACCCCAACAACTCCACTATTGTGATGTTTGCAAGATAAGTTGTGCTGGACCTCAGGTATTTTTATTTTTAATTTCAAGTCGAGTGAGAAATTAAAAGTTTTTATTCCTCTAGACGTACAGAGAACATCTGGAGGGTCAGAAACACAAGAAGAAGGAAGCTGCTCTGAAAGCAGGAACTGCAACTGCCACTCGAGGGGGAAACGCCTTGAGGTGTGAGCTTTGCGATGTGACCTGTACAGGCTCTGACGCCTATGCGGCCCATATTAGAGGAGTGAAACATCAGAAGGTGGTCAAGTTGCACACCAAGCTGGGCAAACCCATTCCATCCAACGAGCCTCTTGTGATGGGCTCGAAAACTGGCACTACGACTGCCGCAGCTAGCACTTCAAAGCCTGCAGGCGCACCTGGGCAGGTGGCTGTTGGAGTTAAAAAACCGTCCGCTGTCCCCAAGATAAACTTCACTGCTGCAGGAGGTTGGTTGAAGCAAACAATTAATCTTCTTTTAATTCTAAATGATGACCCTACCGAGCTCTTTGAACTTGAATGAAATCAGCAGCTTGTTCCCAAAAAAAATTTGATCTGATTACATTATAAAATTTAAGGAAAAAATTTAAACAAATTTTGGTTTCTCATATTTATATTTTGTTCAGGAGCTAAAGAGGAGGAGGAAGACACTAGCAAGGCTGAGGAAGCTAAAATAGAAGAGAAAGAAATTCAACCAGTTGGTCAAGATTATATAGAGGAAATTAGAAATGATGAAGGTAGGACGTTAAGTTGAGTATAAGTACTAATAATAATGTCAAATTTAGGGAAAGTTGTCAGCTTCAACTGCAAGCTCTGTGAATGCCGCTTCAATGATCCAAATGCAAAGGAAATGCACATGAAGGGTCGTCGCCACAGACTGCAATACAAGAAAAAGGTCAATCCAGATTTGATCGTCGACATCAAACCGTCCCTTCGACAACGGAAACTACAGGAAGAAAAAATGCGCAGGCAGCATTTGCGAGATGAGTACTTTAGACGACGTGATGAAGAAAGGTTTTTAATCAATATTTGCTATTAAAAGTTTAAACTCAACTTTAACTTCTTAGATTGTTGGTAGAGGAAGAAGAACGAATGTTCTGGGAAGAGAGGCGGCGTTATGAGGAAGAAATGGAGTGGTTTTGGCGTCACGGCAGGGACCACAGAGGCCCACCTATGCGTCCTCCATTTGGTCCAGGTGGTCCTCCACCCCACATGATGGTAAGTATGATTTGAGTCAATATTTTGCAAATTATTCACCACGGGCGATTTCCTTGGAAATTGAAATTTAGCATACGCTACAAATTGCATTTATGGCATAATTTTCCAGTTCTTCCCTTCTCAGATGAGACGTCCAGATTCAAGCGACGATCGGCACATGTCTGCCAAGCACCAGGAAATCTATCCCACTGAAGATGAGCTGCAGGCAGTGCAGAGAATTGTGTCCCACACTGAAAAAGCTTTGAAACAGGTATCTGACCAATTGGTTGATGCCCAAGGCGGGACCACGGAGGCTCCTGCTGCAACCACTGCTCCAGCCCCTGAGGCCACAAAAGAAATAAAAGTTGAAAAACCAGACGAGCAAAGTGCTGTCAAAAAAGAAGATGGCCGCGATGGATCAATGTATAAAGATTGATTTGACTGCATATCAAGTTGCAATTCAACTTTCATGTTCGACAGGTTCTCGTTCCATCGAAGCAAGGAAGAGTGTGCACAGAACACCAGGACCCTCAAAGGTGTGATGAGGGTTGGTGTTTTGGCCAAGGGCTTGCTGCTGAAGGGAGACACAAGTGTCCGCCTAGTCGTTTTGTGTGCTGACAAACCCACTGTCAACCTTCTGAACCAAGTGGCAAGCATGCTTCCAGTTCAGTTAAAGGTAAAACAAGCCTATCACTACCATCACCAACAATAAAATTATTATTTATCAGAGTGTCTGCAGTCCTGAAGATGCATATGAAGTTAGTGCTCATCCCCAACAGGGTTCTATCCATGTACGCAACAACAAGAATGACTTGAAGATCACTGTTGAGATTTTGCTAACATCTCCCGTAGTCCGAGAGGCTCCGGGTGAAAGTGCTCCAGCCGGTAACTTTTTACGAAACATCCAAGTTGATTACATGCTTAAAATTCAAGATGTTGACAAATCTATAATTGAATTTGTCCTTTCTAGATTTATAGTTGAGGCGCACACTTTACACATGCTAGTGGCTGAAGTAAATTTGCAATGCGTCCAGCTTCTCTACCATGCAGGCAAAAATGTCTTAAAATAGCTCAAAATTCTGCTGCATGGTGAGATTTGGATGAACCACTCAACCACTGAACGTGTAAAGTGTGAACCAAATAATTAAAGATGTTACTAACCGACCTGACCGCTCCCTCGTTCAGAGCCTGTCGAGGCAGCGAGCCGGCCGGTAGGGAATCTCTTGGATAAGCAGCAATGCTTAGAAGCCCTTGCAGCGCTGAGACATGCCAAGTGGTTCCAGGTTTGCACGGAATTCTCTGCTTTATATATCTACATTTTTATTCTCAAAGTGAAAACTGTTCAAATACTTTGCAGCCTTGTGTCTGGCATTTCACACTTAGAATAGTTTAAATTTTCCTTTTTCTGCCAGATGGTTGAAAACTAAGAAAACTTAATGCATGCTACCTTTTGAAATCAAGCGGTTGTGTTTATCAGAACTTTTCTTGCGAGTTGATGATTTACTATGCTTTGCTGTTAAAAAATTCAGTCTCCATCAGCAAAATCTTGACTGACAAATTTTTAATTAAATTGGGAGATCAAGTTAGGCTGATGGTTTTCCATTTAATCCATTTGCCAAAGAGAAGTTCTGATTTTTTATCTGACTGGCCCCCTGCGCCGAAAGGGCTCTCAGGAATCGAGGCAGGGGTCTACCCGTACGACTGACTGATCATGAGGCTACAAAGTTTTGCAACCTCACTGTTGTTTTGCTTGAAGAGAACGCAGGATCTATCCAAATTTTTTTGTATGATCTCTCTCACTCTGCTAATGGCCTAATCTAGTGTAAATTTCACAATTCAAGCCAATTTCCTCCAACACAAGACAATTCCGTGAAAATTGCCCAATAACTTTGATTTGCAGCTTCTGGAGGAATAAACGTGGTGCCCCTCGCTCATGCCATGGTTATGTACTGTAAATTTTAAGCTGATGGAATGACAATGCCTTCAAAGCTGTTTGCCCAGCGAATTTTATTCATATTCAGATTTTTATTTGGCCATAGCCCTAAAGGCAGAGCAAAGCATTGTAAATTCATCAAATCCTTTTGAATTTTGCATGCTAAGGATCTGTAACAGTAACGCAGCCAGCTTTCAAGGACTGTCAGTGACAATCGGTTAAATTTCAGGCTAGGGCAACTGGACTTCAACACTGCGTGATGGTGATTCGCGTTCTGAAGGATCTCTGTGCTCGAGTTCCCACATGGGCTCCATTCCCATCCTGGGTAATAATTTTGAAGTTGACAAGAAATTTTTTACTACGTTTAAATTTGATCAGGCACTGGAGTTGCTGTGTGAAAAGGTCTTGAGTAGTGCAGGACAACCTCAAAGTCCTGGTGATGCATTAAGGCGTGTGATGGAAGCAGTGGCTTCAGGAATTTTACTGCCAGGAGGGCCAGGTTTGCTTGACCCTTGCGAAAAGGAGCCAACCGATGCTGCTGGCTGTCTGACAGTTCATCAAAGAGAGGACATAACTGCCAGTGCACAGGTGAAGAATAGATGCCTTAATTTTAAAATTAAATTAAATTTGGACTTGTAAAGCTAAATTAAACAAATTTTATTAAATTGTTTATATATTTTTATAAGGGGTCCATAATTATTCACTATGTGAAATTAAAAATTTAGTATTTTAATAATTTTGTACTGCCTTTTCAGCATGCACTGCGTTTGCTGGCATTCCGTCGGATCCATGAAGTCCTGGGCATGGAGCAGTTGCCTCCTCCAAAATTCCAAAGGGGACGCTTCAACCGCAAGCGCCGCCGTGACAACAGCAGTGGTGAAGGAAACGACTCCGAGGGAGAAAATGAACCATGTAAGTTTGAATGACACAACATCAGTGAGCAGTCTTCTGATTGAAATTCATATCAAACAGGTGGAGATGGAAAGAAGGACAAAAAGGAAGACGGCGAGGAGAAGATGGACACAGAGAAAACAGCAGTCAATGCTGCTGCCTAAATTAATCTCTTGACTGTTTAGTATTTCCAAGCTTTGTTAGGGAACCCATGCTGTTAGAGTGCCGAACTAATGATTTCAAATTAGGTTTCTAGTGAACGTAAAGTTGGACCTTAGGTAGGCACCCTGTCTCAAGTCAAAAAATAATAAATTAAAAAACTTTGTGTTATACTTCCCGTGTTCAAGCATGGATATTTCATGCCTCTCTCTTACTGATTTCTTGATTAAATAATACATTTTATGGATGCAAAAAGAGATATTCCTCAAGATAATGTTTGACTTAAACTAGTTTTAGAGTTTTGAATCTTGTTATTAATAACACTTTGCAAAGAAAGTGGAATAAACAAGAAACTTCTTAGAGCAAATCATTCATTTTATTTTCTTTGTATTTTTAAACAAAATCCTGTTAACAACTGAATTAGGGACAAACTTCTGGGATGGAAAGGTTCTGTCCTCATCAGCGCAATCATGCTGATACATTTCCTCGCTGACGAAGGAGTCTTGCTCCTCGATTGTTGGTGTGAGAACTAGTCCGAGTGCTGGGTAGATGAGGAAAGCAGTAAATGCCAGCATAACACACACGAGCACTGGGAGGGCCACTGCCCAATATTTGTGGGGCAGAAAGTCTAATCCTGCTTGTCTCAACCAGGGATCGGGCACAAGAACCCAAATCAGATAAAAGATGAAAGCACCGCGGCACCCTAAATAGAGCACCAACCCCTGGATGGCTCTGCTGGGGGTTGGGGCAGGCGTGTGTACCTGCTGCTCTTTCCTACTACCAGTGGTCATATTTTTCTGTTTTGGCCGGACCGAACGTTTTGATTGTTTCTTGTACAAGGATGAGATGCTCAAAAAAGGAGTTTGAGGCAATTCGCAGGTGCCTTGTCTCTGAAGCTTCAAAACATCTAAAAAAAGAAGCAACTTAATATCAATAATATGTATGTATTAAATTTAAGTTGTATTATGGCAATTTTATTATAATGTAATTATGACTTTTTATCCGTACACTTCAAGTGTTGAATCAACAAGTTTAAGAGTCTTGTTTGTACCACCGCGTTTTGGCTCCTCGTCTACTCTCAAGACATCGTAGACAATTTCAGCGTCACGTTTGCTTGCAAAGGGAACAGTTAAACTCCTAAAAAAATGAATAAATAAATTTAAAGCGCTCATTTATTTCAAGTAATTACACTCACAATTTAAGAGACATCTAATGATATAATTATTTCTACGATTCCTTCAGTTAAAAATTTTGATTTGTTTTTGGTTCAATTCTTGTTGGTTCAATTGGTTCCTCCTCGTTCCTCGTGCGTAGAATAAGGGGCGAGGCTGATCTATGGACATTAGAAGCTGGATTGGTCGAGACGCCATTTTTTGGTTTCAGCACCCCAGGCCGCCCGGGGTGTTGAAACCGAAAAATGGCGTCTAGACCAATCCATCTTATAATGTCCATATAGCTGCCACCACGCTCAGGCCCGGGAAGCCAGGTTCAGAGCTTCTGAGGTTCAGAGATCGTAACAACAACCGGTTATCGGCCGATCGTCAATTGTTTTTTTTTTAACAAAATTACCGCAGGCCGCAGGCAGTAGAGTCCGCTGTCCGCTGGCTGCAAGGATGAGATCGCTCGATCGCGTATATCATTAATATCATATTATATCATTCAATATATCAATAGATGATTTATTGTCAAATTATTTATTTATCGACCTTTTACAAGGAGCAATTGCCCCATTTTGGCCTTTTTGCGACTGCATTATTCTTTTCAAGTGCATTATTAATTACGATTAATTATTCTCATAATTTAGTATTTAGTAATTTAAATTTTTCAAAATTCAAACATGAAAAAAAGCCCATTGCAATTGCGGAAAGCATAATGCAATCTTAATCTGAAATCATTTTTAAATCCAATTAATCCTATAGCTCTGCACTCTGCGCGGTCGTTAAATTGCATAGTTGAAGCGAAAATCTTTATTCCCAAACTTTTATCAATATAAAGAAGCTAAAAATATTAAAATAATTATTTATTAATGGGTGCCCGGTGCATCGTGGTTAGGGCAACTCGCGATCCGCGATGATAACACGCATAAGTTCAAGAAGCTAAAATTGTAAAAAAAATTCATAAATCTCAACTATATTTATTTTCCAATTTTAACTAATTTCATCAGCTTTTATCAATAATTATTTGTTAAAATTAAAATCATTAATAGAGAATAAAAATTATATATATTTTATTCTCATATTTATTTCAAATAAATTTTGGAAAATTTAAACACGTTATAATTATTATAAATTCCTTATATTTACACTCACTTTTTTAATTATTAAAATATTTTTGTCACGATCGACCGCGACACAAGACGAGTGGCGAGAATCATACTTGTTTATCAGAGGATGGCCGCGGCCTCACTAAACAGATTGGTCGCTGCTGCCTGCTGGCTGCTTTGGAGATTTTTGTGGGGGTGGAAGAAGAGAGGGAAGCATGTCAGGTATAGGCAATCGTCAATAACAATAGAGAACACAAAAAACAGGTGATCCAAGGAGACTTAAAAATGTTGAAAATCTCACAAAGCGTATATACAAATAGCATGAGAATGCGCTCCTAACTTATTCTCCTAAATTATTTACTAATTTTACAAAATATAATTATGTGGGTGCAAAATTTTTGACACGGCCAATATTAGGTTCGTTGAAATCAGCATTAAAATTGTCAAATTTTGATGAAAGTTAATTTGAAATTAAAAACCAGAGGTCAAGAGGGCAGCGGGTGACCTAGGGCACTTAGAGCTTTAACAATACCTTCTTGCTCTGGAGCTTAAAATTTTGAATCAACCATCATTAGAATTATGCGATTCGGACCAGTGGGAGCAAAGTATTTGCGCTCGGCAGTTTAGTATGAACATCACATTTTTAAGAAGGTTGAATTAAATTTAAATTATTCTATTGATGCCATTGACAAGAACGCTTCAAGTGTTTTGAGCCAAGTCTTTAAGCAACTAATCATAATTAATTTGTGTTTTTTACTTGAAATCTATGTGCTGCAGTCAAAGTTGAAGTGGAAAAAACACTGTAATAATTTTGCATAGATGTTTCAGAATCTGAATTCTCACAATAAAAAAACAATAGATGTATTTGAGCTTAGTTGTGAATTTTCTCAATTTTTACTTCATTAGCAGGCGAGATAATTAATAAAAACTCTGCGACCCGCCTCAAAAATTTTTGGACTAAAAAGCCGCGGTCGTCTCACACAAGAGAGACATCGGCGTCATTGCGCTGTTCAAGTTTATGTAAAAACGAAAACTCAAAAAATCGTAACTTTGGTCCTAATGATCCGAATAATTAAATTTTTGAAAAATATAAAAGATTTTTCAATCTCAAAAAAATGGTATAAACATTTGATTAAATATAAAAGATAACAAGCAAGCTATTAGGCAAATATCTCTTTTATGAATACACATAGCTTGTAAAATTTAAAAAAAATATATATATAAATTTGTTCAGAACAGTGGAAAAAATTTTTATACTTTGATCTCATACAATGCACCACAGCCTAATGAAAATGAATGCCTGTAATATTCTTACCATGTTCATAAAAATATTCTGCTGATAATTATATAATATTATGTATTTCTAAATTTAAGAAGGTGAAGAAATATGACATATATTTTTAAATGTATTAAATATGGATGCATAAAAATATTAAAAATACTTGTTCCTAAGACGCGGAAAAGATAGTACGCAGTGAACTATAAATTCCAGCTTGAGTGTCATTTGCGTGTGCTTTTGGATTCAAATTATAAAAATACGTCGCGCCACCCCGCTCCACAAACAACCGGCTACCGATATCCCCGCCCCCTGCCGGTATAACCGTTTGAACCTGTGAACCTGGCTTCACGCTCGCACCACGCTCACCTCTCCAGACAGAGAACAAAACGCTGCCCTCAGCTTGGCTCTCAGTTTTCTGAAGTTTTCCTGGTGATTTTAATATTTTGCAGAGGCTTAATCTGAAGGAAAAGTTTCATAGAAGCGTTGGGGTGAGCAAAAATTTAAAAGCTTATTTAAGAATTGGAGAGATCATTATCATAATTCATAATACATATTTATCATAATTGAACTATTACATATACACATAAACGCAAGCAATACATATTTACCAAAATAAAGATTTTTGTTAATATTTAATTATGTAGCCCATTTAATTAAGTTTGTTTCTCGTAGATATCCGTGATGGCAGCAAAAAGGATCCCTCGCTTGAGGAACCTTATCAAGGCAGCCAGTGGTGGAGCCCCTTATAAAGAAGACTCAAAAAAGATAATTCGCTTTGTTCGGATGGGATGTACAAACAGACCATTTTATCACATTGTAGTTGCCGAGGTAATACAATAATTTTTTTTTTAATTTACTACTAAATTTGTGGATTGTTACAGCAACACACAAACCAGCACATGCCAGTGATAGAACAGGTTGGAACCTACGACCCGTTGCCCAATGAGAAAAACCAAAAACTAGTTGCATTTAATTTTGAAAGGGTTCAGCATTGGCTAGCAAGAGGTGTCAATTTAACATATCCAGTGGCTGAACTTCTTGGTATTAAGATTCTTTGTTATCAATTTTTCATAAATTAAAGTAAATTGTTCTTTATTCCATAACAGGTCTTGCTGGTTATTTGCCTCTTCATCCCAGGACTGTTATGACTGCGTGGAGAAATAGATTGCGTGCGAAAAAAGAGGCTAGCGAGGAAAAGAAGGAGTAGTGTAATTTTTCAATTAGACTGATGTGAGAGTAGGAAGTTGAAAATTTATTTGCGAATTTTAGCTTTCCAAAGTAAAAATTTACTGTGTAACCTTTACTTTAGTTTTGTTAAATAGCACAATAACCCATGAAAATAAAATAGCATTTAGAGTTTCAAAAATGCAGTGCAACCTTAAAAAAATATAAAATTATATTTTTTTGTAGATATCCTTTTTTGAAAAAAGAAAATTTTAAACTTATCTGAAGAGATAATAATTTTATCAATAAATGAGTTGATAAATTACGGCTTATTGTTTTTCCTATGAACGTATTGAAACCAGGAAAAGTTCGAAAAAATAACTATTTTCTAGGCATATGGCCTTCCCAAGAGAGTATAATTAAGCTATTAAATTTAAGTATTATTAATGTGGAATATTTCAAAAAATTTAATGTGGTCATAAAATTAACAGCTCTAAAATTAGGGTTGACAACTTTTTTATTATTTTCATAACAATGTACACATTTTCCCTGCTCTTGCAGATCTTTTAAGTGCTACTGTTTCGAGGGATTGTAGTTGGAATAGAAACAGAACAGCCAAAATATTATACTGCAAGTTTAGGGTAACTTCCTACTATTTTAAAACATTTAATATTAGTGAATGTCATAAACACTAGTGAGGGCGAGCTCGGGCTTATCGTAGCCCAATTCCTCGGGGGTGTTCAGGCCCAATTCCTCCAAAGTGGGTCGGATTTCCTGTTTTTTTAAGTTAAGTTAAATTTATGTGAATTTTTTAATGATATTGAATACCTTGAGAACATAAGGGTAGATTTCGTTGACCTTTCCGCCACACTTTTCCTTGACAGCCTCAAGGTACCTAACAGCCAGGGCAAAGTCATTAACCCTTCGGCAAGCCTTCAAAGCTGCGGTGATGATCTTTGGCTCGGGCACCAAGTCCATTCCAGTCAGGTCATTCATTGCCTGCGTTAGAATTTATTTTAGAAAATAGCCTGGTCAAGTCAAAGGCCTTTAAAATTTTTATACCTTTCTGATCTCCCAACCATCGATGTCTGCCCTGTTGAAAAAGGCCTCGTAGCGGGCGTCGAATTCGGCATCTGTCTCTGTCGAGTGCTTGGACATGCACCTAACAGAGCCGACTGCAAGCAAAAACAGAGGAAGGTCAGTCAGTTTTTCCAAGTTAATCCACATTCGACATGCAGAAAGGAGCAAAATAATTGTTACAAACGACACTCACTTCCAGCGCTACGGAAAACGGCTTTGTTTACGGCTGAATTCAGCCTGCCGACAACGGTTCGCAGCATTTTTATCGTTCTTCGACGACTGCAGCCGCGGATGAAAAATGGCCGGTCGATGGGACAAGACGAACTGAGAGCGCTTATGTTGGTCTGTCTGGTTTGCTATCCCATTTCCGGTGCAAAAATATTAGCAAATTGTACATAATTTAGTTCTTCAGAAGGTTTATAAAAGCGCCATTTTTATTTTTGACTTACAATGAAGATTTAGAAATTCGCGGTGGTATTAAATGGCCGACTTTAAATTCTTCAAAAGTACCAAATTGTACCAACTGAACAAGTTTCTGAGTTGTCTCCGATCCGATCGCACTATTCTCGTCAGTCACAATTATTTTTTGTGGCTCGTCTTTTGCAATAGTCTGTATTAATATTAACCGTATTATCTTTATCATTATTTATTTTTTAAAATTTGAATAGTTATTTGTATTAATAAAATATTGTGCGAAAATGTGTCTTTGATGAAAATACAAAATTTAGGTCTTAATAATTTTACTTTCCATTTTATTCATCGTAATATAATGGATACATTTCTTAATTAATGTGGGAACTGCATTATGAAATCCAAAAAAAGGCGACATATATCTAAATAACTCATACTTCACAAAAGCTGTATTTTGCTATTTCAAAACTGCTGACTTTTATAACATGAAGATAATATATTGTTAAAATTAAAATTCTACAAAAAAAAAGACTAAAAATGCACTTGCTTGAATCAAAATAATAGTGCTAATATGTTTGATAAAAAAGGTTATTTTAAAATATATGTTAGGCATCCATTCTGTTGATCATCACAATTAACTGGTTTGGTAAACAATACCTCAATAAAGCTCTGAATGGTGGCTTAAAATTTGCAGAAAATTTAGCAGCTGAATTAATTAACCTCAGCAAAAAAGAATTCATATAACAATTAGCACCCAGCCTCATCAGGAGTGACTTTATGCGAGTTTCAAGCTGCTATTTTGATTTTCTTATTACCAAGGTGGCTGCTGCTGCTGGTTAGGGGGTGGCTGAGGCGGGTAGCCTGGATATGAAGGAAAGCCAGATTGCTGAGGATACCCTGTTTGCGGTGGCGGGTACGGATAAGAGTAGGAAGCAGGATGCTGTTGCTGAGGATAAGGAGCTTGCGGATAAGCGTAAGGGTTGTAACCAGTGGGCATCGGAGCATAAGCCGCATACGGGTTGACTCCTTGTTGTGCATACGGATGAGGCATTCCCTGAGGCTGAACAGGGTAGGGAAGAGGTGCACTATGAGCGGCTGGAGCCGAGGACGGCGTTGGAGGTGCACTCTCATGATGGGCTGGAATGCTGGGAGTCCCTGCAGTGACCTTGCTCAGGTCAGAGGTCAAATCTTTCAAGAGTTCGTCCTTTTCCGTCTTGCGGGCGAAGCAGAAATCAGAAACTTTGTTTTGGAAATTCACCAGCAGCTGTTGGGATTAATTAGTTTGAAACACATTAATTAATTAAATAATCTGTAATACATTAGTCAGGTCATTGTAGAAACGGGAACCTTCTTTCAGGTTGACCTGCAGCTCCATAAATCCGTCATGGGCGGCAGCCAATTTCTTGAGCATCTCTTCTCTTTGCATTGCAGCTGCCCCAGCCCCACTCTTCTCCTTGCAAAATTCAGAGTTCACTCTCTACAGATTGGATTAATATTTATGTTAATTGATGTTTTAAAATTTAAACCTGAATCTCTGCAATCAGTGCTTCTTGACGCTGTAAGCTCTCCTGAACCTGTTTGCTCAGTGAACCGTAAGTGCGGCCAAGAGCCTCGACCGACAAATTTGCTTCATTGATAGCACCGTCTTGAGCAAGAGCCGACAAAAACTTATCATGCATATCTGAAGTCGGGGAATTCAGCTCACTCTCAATCACATCTCGCTCAGCTTTTATTGCCTCCACCTGCAAAAAAGAAATAAAATATAAAAAAGACGGAAAACTTGTAAGAAAAAAAATTTACGTTCTCCATCAATTTGCGCAACTGACAAGCAGCGGAACTCTTGCTGGCGCCACTCGAGCCACAGGCAGGAAGTGCTGCTTGCAAGGCACTGATGTCTCCATCGAGCAGGTAGATTCCCTCGGAGTGTGTTTCAAATTTGGCCCTCACCTTCTTGTCAGCTTCAATTGCATTCGTGATGATCGTTCTAGGCAATGGCAAATTAGCCAAGGAATTTCAAAAAGGAAACAAGGACTTACTGGTATTTAACGACATTTGCTTTGAAGGTGTCAGTCAATTTAGCTGATGGAGTTCTAGTCCATTTCTCTTTGAACTGATTCCTGAGCTGGGTGTCAGAATCCTCCTCTTCCTTCACCATTCGATTGCACTGTTAGAATAAATAAATAAATCAATCTAAAGAGATTTTCACGCAGTCAATCAAATATTTTACCTCATTCAGAATTTCCTGATTCCTCTGTAGGAGTTCGGGCAGCTCTTGAAGCATTTTCTGAAGGTCATTCAGACCTCCACTTGATTTGACACTTGCTGCTTTTTCTTGCATCGAATGAGGAATCTCAGCACCAGTGGTGTCCTCCAAAGCGGCTGGCAAATTTAAAGATGCTAAAATGCTGGAAGGAAAATGTTATTTATAACCTCTTTAAGAAAATTTAATAATCATACCTATTCAGCAGTTGAGTAGCTTCTCTCAGTTTCATGATTTCTGTGTTGACCAAATCAGTTTTCCTGACACTGTACGCAGCCATCGCTTGTAATACAGGCACAGGCACGAGATTTTCAAACAAGTCTGTAAAATAAATTTTAAAATAAGCAAAACTAGAAAGCTGCTGTGTTCACCTTTAGAAGAAGCGCTCATTTTCTCGGTCATGGGAATGGCTTTTGCTAAAGGTGCCTTTCCGACTGCTGCCAAGGACTTTGAGTCTGGCACCCTCTCGTGGTATATGAAGTCATTGTCTTTCTTGCTTTCAGTCAAGGCCTTCTGAGCTTTGTTTACAAAGTCTTGGAAGAAGGTAGCCTTTCCAGAAACTTGTTGTGCAGTCTTGAAAAGCTCAAGAGCATACTGAAATTTAAGACTTATTTGACAAATTTTTACTTAATTTTTTTCTAGTCACTGACCTGAAGCCTGGCAATTTCTTCACCAACACTTTTACCAGCGTTGCAAACTAGACTTTGGTAATACTGAGCCAGGCCTTTGTAAGCAGCTTGCTTTCCTCCAACTACCGAAAGCCAGTCGTAGTCTCCTCTTTCCCAAAGAGGGTGCAGACTTTCCTTCTGCATCAATTTGTAGGCCTCTGTGTAAAGCTCGTCGCACTGCGAGCTCAGTTTTGCAATCACAGCATCCTTCATGCGATCTGTAATAATATTTATTTCAAAAATTAAATAATTCTCTATTATGAATTTTTCCTCACCTTGAATAGCTTTCTGGACAAAAATTTCTTGCGCCTGCGCCAGCATCAGAGCTGAAAGAGCACCAAGAGTTTCGGCTTTCAAATCTGGTGTCGGATCTTGTTGGATGGAAGACAAGACTGTTGACTTGAGGTGGTTGAAAATTCCCGCTGACTGCTGCAGAAGTTTGGCGGCGAGTTTTCTTCCTTCGTCCGTCTCCATGGTCTGATTGGCAGCCACACAACTCTGCAGTGCAGCGATGTTGAATAGGACGCAAACCTTCTCATAAGCAAGAGAAGCAATTGCTGAATGAAAAATAATAATAATATCAATATGCATAAAATCTTTTACTGAACAAGTAAACTTACTTAGACTCAATCTGCCTCCAAAGAGACTGCCCCTGTCAAAAGCGTCTTTCCACTTAAAGGGGATCTGAATTTCATGAGCAGGGATTTTCGTTTCCATTGCACATAGTTGGTCATAGTAGCTGTAAGCAAATTAAAGTTGCATAAATAATTAATAATTGAGCTCGTTTCAAGGATTATTAAATTTAATCTGGTTTACTTAGAAACAACAAATATATCATGAAATCTAATAGATTTACATGTTTTAAATTATTATTATTACCATAATCTATTTATAATTCAGAGAAATTTTAATTTTTTTGCAAATAAAACTGAATCAAATTTGAGGTTATTTATGCCGATTGAAATATTTATTGCTTTTTAATTGATAATCTGGATTAAAAAAGTATTGACATGTAGACGGAAGAGATGACTCATTCTACAAAGATCAAATAGCTCGTAACGGTCGAAGTGGCTCCACCGCACCCCAAGGTCTTTGTTTTTTTCCTTGTTGAATAATAATTAATTTACATTTGGGGAGCGCAAAAACTATTAAAGTTACTAATAAAATTGAAAATTATAGACAATTTGACGTGAAAACGTTTAATTGCCTTAGCCGGCACTCATCTTGATATCAAGGAAATACAAATGATAATAAAAATTAAGCCGTTGTGGGGGGTCATCACGTCTTTAGATTTGCTCAAACCAACAGAAATTCAATACACGAGGCACAGTCATATTTGTTTTGCGAAGTGCAAAATACGGGCGATCGCAAAGGACGATGTAAGTGAGGAAAAATCGTGTGTCAGCGGCAATTAGCGGCCCCAAATGCCTGGGAACTGTTGAACTTGACATTAGTCATACCAATAAATGAGCTCGAGGGACGACTCGTATTTCTCAAACGCCTTCCACAGGGCGTTGTTACGGAGCTTGCTGAACTCATTGATCTCCTCTGTGTAGTCGACGGGTTTGTCCGACGTGCTGTACACGGACGCGATCAAGTTCTTCAGCGGCTTGGTCACGTCGATGTCCGACGGTTTTTTCAACGGGACAGCCAGCAAGTCCGCCATGATCGCTCAAGTATTATTCGGATAATAAATAAAAATATAATCATGGCAGCACCGTCGCTCCTCGTCCCTGCTATTTGACGTTCGCTTGAATTCATGCAGCGGGAAGGCCACGTGATTTGCATGTCGGTACTTGCACCGGGTTGTAGTGAACGTGGGGGATTCTGCGGCACCCGAGGAATTCAGAACTTCCAGTCGCTCGAGGCTGGCCGGGCTGGTATTTTGCTACTTGCACTTTGCTCCATTATTTTTGCCAACTCTCCCCACCCCGACAACTATTCATGCTGTATTTGCTGCTTCTGTCTTTACTTGTCGTTTTCATTCTATCTTCCAGTGGCCGATCGCAACCAAAGACAAATAAGGAAATGGTTTCCAAGATAGATCGATGAATCCGAATGAAAAAACCAGTCACATCACCAATCACCACATTATGACGTGATTTGTATAAATTACATATTTTTAATTGTTGTTTATTTGTCCAATTGTTATTATTTCAATCAATTTCGCGTTATGTAATTGTAATAATTTTCTGATTATTTACAGCAATCGTGATGATCCTCTGATTTGGGAAATCCAGCGTCTGTTAGTTGTCGGTGCAGTTTTCATTGCATTTCTGTCACCTGGCCAAAGTGATGAAAGATTCTGTCGAGATGTATTAATTAGTCTCATAATAGCTGCTTCTTGAGCATCGCCACTACCTAAATTGCCTAAATTGTGTTATCTCAATATATTCATGCGCTCCGTGAAAGGAAATTTGGTGATGGAGTAGCGATTTGTTGAATTTGTTCGATTCTCACAACCTGCGTACAGTTGTGTACAATATGTAACAAACCATGCTTCATAATCCGTGATTAATTTTTATTGAGGCCATAATAATAATAATTTAGCTCAATGTGCACAAATGCAAAATATATTTCTCATATTTATATGTGATAGTGAATCGCAATTCTGCTCATGATCTCAAAACCTCTCCGATATGTCTAGTGTCTAGACGACCAACAGAAAGATTTTTTAAAAGCGCCATCAATAATGTGTTATTTATGAAAAAACAAATAAACAAACACACAACGAGAAGGCAAAGGCGCGCAGATTTTTAAAATAAATTTTTAAGGTATGTTATATGATATATTATAATTTTATTAACTTATCAAATTTATCAATGCATTTTTTAAATAAAAAGCAGTTTATCCTGGAAAAGAATTGAAAATGTGGAACACGGAAGAAACACTTCGCCTGAGGAGACACTCGTTTGATGATTTCCTCACCGTGGCAGAATCCTTGGAGTTGCAGACATCTCAACGAAAATGCAAATCTCTAAAGTGAGACTCTTTTCTTTACTAAACATTTTTACTTCAAATATTTATTGTTGTTAATAATTGAACAGCGGATTAAAGTGGATTGAGATTACAAAGGATGTGGGGTGGAGTTGTGATGTGGACTCTTCAGACTCGGAGCAGTCTGTAGTAAGTGCAGCTTCATCCCACCTCTCCATTCCTGGAAATCAGCTGGGATTCGACTTGGAAAAGGAATTGCAAGAGCTGAGGCCAGAAAAATGTGAAAAGTATGAGCAGCCAGGAAATGCCCCTGAAGACTTTGAAGCCTTCCGGAAGCACCACAACTGGATCCCTTACACTTACCAAGACAGCCAACTTCCCAAGGAAGCTTATGTGAGAATTAAAATGTCAGGCCAATTTAATAAGTTATGAAAAAAAAATCTTAGGCAAGACCCACACCAACTTATGTCTGGAAATCTCGAAGGCGGAAATTCACAAAATCTAAGCACATTCAGAAGAAGCGCTTTGAGATTTTGGATATCGAATCAGACATTGACACTGAAGACGATGACATAGAGGAAAACTGTGTGGCCAGATTTAAAGCTTTACCACGAGGTCAAAATGCTAGAGCAAACCACCAGGCCAGAGTGAATTGGCTAAAATATAATCTTGCTCCTCTTCGCGCCCGACGGTGCAGCAGCGATGAATATTCTGAATCTTCACACTCCGATCCAGATTTACAGAATGAAATTATTAGAATCTACCCAAAACAGTATCAGGGGAACAGTTCCGACGATGAACTCTGCTACCCCGATCGAGACAGTGACTATGAGTACTCGCATGTGTGGGGCGAAAGTGATTCGGAAAATCCAGAATTGGAACTCGATGGACAGGAATCAGTGAATTTTCCATGTGGTGACCTGATGGAGGAAGCAGACAGATCTGCCGAAGCATCCCTCCCTTTTAAGAGGTATTACAAACTTCTAGACGCTCCATCACCAGAACCGTATTTACCGCAGGCCATTTTTGACCCAAAAGACTTACCCTCTTGCGTCCACAAGGTAGACCCTAGCGATATCCTGGCACTAGACTTTTTAAACTTGGACTTGTCCTCTCCTCATGATATTCCTCGGGTGTCCGATCACACTCCTAATTTCAAAATTGTGGACGGCAAAATTGAAAACAAGTCAAAGGTGAACATAGGAATACAAGAGGAAAGGGCAAGTCAGAAAAGAAAAATTTCCGATGCAAGTGTCGGCAGCAGTGTGGACTGCAGTGTGTCCAAATTTGCTCGCCTGAGGAAGCAAGACTCTTCAAGTGACGAAGAAAGCTCTGGTTCAGTTTCGTCGTTTGTGCTGACAGGCCGCAAAAATGAATTTGATAAATTACTCAAGATAGAATTACATGACGAAGGCGTAATAGAGTCGCCTTACCCTACGCCAAATAGTGACATTGAAAGCCTATCTAGTCCGGCAAATGTTCAGTGTGACTTAAACATGCATTATGTATTAAAGTAAAAGCATCCATTTGAAAAAAAAAATAATAATAATAATGCAGACAACCACCTGAATAAGGATTTTAATTAATTCCAGGTTGCTTAAATTTGGTTTAAATTTTGCAAATTCAAAGAAAAAATAGCTAAAATTTAATGTATTTTTTGACGAGAGGAGTTATCGAGTAATTTCATCATAATAAAAATTTTCTATTGGTATTATGGACAATTAGCATTGGGGTTTGTTTTTCAAATACCATTTTGATTACGATATAGGTAGGTACAGTGAAAAAATATCAGTCTTGTGGAAAGCTAATTTAATTTAAAATTCTCAATAAATTCGTGAAACCAGGAATTCTTAATTTTAGAATCACTTAAAAAGTAGTCTCGGAATCCAGTCTTGCAAATGGTTAGTATTAATAGTATTACTTAACGCACTTCAAGAGTTAAATCTCTTCCCAAACAACAACACTGACAGATAATTTTGAGGAAACATGAAATATATTGATTGCTCCTTCACTGCAAAGCAGCATTCATTGGGAGTACAGTACATACGCTATTTGAAGTTTAAGTACCCTTGGAAATTTCATTACTAACGGTGCTTCTTCCTGCGATTTTTAGACCCTGAAGCGCTTGCATCAGACTGTGGTTCTGGCATGACAATTTGACCTTCAGAGATTTCGTCCTTCAGTTCAGACTGGGAAATCTGATTTTGCGCCTCAAAGAAAAACATGACATCTCGTAATTGCTCCTTTAAATCAGTCAGTTCCTGAAGTTCAATTGATTTTAAGCATAAAGCTATTAATTCTACTCATATCTTACTTTCTCCTTATTGTTCTGATAATCGTTGAATTTGGACTCCAGGGCACTGAACTTCTCTTGCCAAGCGCTCTGATTTTGCTGCATTCCGTGACTCATGCTAACTTCTTGTTGCAGCTCACTTTTTGTAGTTAACAGTTTTGCATTCAATGTTTGGATCTGAGAAAGAATCACTATAATTTGATAGAATTGCAGATCGTAAATATACCAACCTTTTTCTCTTGCGTTTGTTTATCTTTCTTGAGTGAGTCAACTTGCTTCTTCAAACGCTGGTTCTCCTCCGACAACTTGTCAACTCTCTCCCGAAGCTCCTCTCTCTTTAAACAAAATAAATTTAACAAAAATGCTACTTGAAACCTCTCGAGAATTACCTCGTTGTGAACTTCTTGCTGTAGTCTGATCATTCTGTCCTCAAAGTAGAGCCGCTGAGACTCCAGCTGACTTGTAAGAAGATAAGTGAACTCCAACTGCAAAGAGTCAACCTTCTCATCTCCAGCCTGTAAAAACTTCAATAAATCCCTTCCTCAAAATTTCCACATGGTATATCATACCCCCGGTTTTTCAGGAGAACGCCCTTCTTGATCTGCCCCAACAGCGACCATTTTTCCATCATCTTTATTTTGGAGAAGTCTGTGGACAAAATTGTCTCCAACGTAGTCCCACACTCGATTGCTTCCTAATTGCATTGAGTAGCAGTGCTGCGTCTCCAAAAAGTGCCTTATCGAAATAAGTTAACACTCTTACTTTCAATCAATAACGCATATTCTTACTGAGAAGCATGCCCTTGTACGTATCTTCCACAGCCTACATGCCCACATATCAGACAAATCCACAACGAATCAGCCGACTGGCATTCAAAACACTTGTTGTCAACAGCCTCAGGAGTCTGCACATAGCGGCAGACAGGACACCTGTGATAAAAAAAATTATCAATTAATTTTCATTTTTTTAGTTTTTTTTTTTTTGGAAATGAAGAGATCGGGCTTTTCCTCGTTGCAGAAAAATTGTTTTTATTCAAAAACAAATGGCTCTACCAGTTTCGGTCACGGTCTGCGACCCTATTTCATGAGCAAAACGCGCTGCTCGCTGACTAGCAGCGCGTTTTGCTCATGAAATAGGGTCGCAGACCGTGACCGAAACTGGTAGAGCCATTTGTTTTTGAATAAAAACAATTTTTCTGCAACGAGGAAAAGCCCGATCTCTTCATTTCCATGATCATCTCCTCGAGTGTCAACTTCTTCAAACAAATTTTTTTTTTTTATTTTTTATATTATACAACTCACGTTGCATCCACCCATTTGGCAAGACAGTTGGAATGGAATGAGTGGTTGCAAAGAATGGTCAAAATCCCATCAACAGACTCGTCCATCCTTTCTAAACACACTGGACAAGTGGGCAGTTCTGTGTGGCCTGGAGGTGGGTCCACGCAATCCCCTTCCCGGACAACCTCCACCCCAGACACATAGGCAACATTGCAAAGCTCGTCGTCAGATAGTGAACTGTAAGGAATTCCATGGAAGGTCCGATAGAACTCGTCAGCAGCCACCTGAAATTATGAGTTGAATGATGCGAATCAAAAATGAAATGAATTTCTAACCTGAGATCGAAATTCGATCAGTGCCATGTAGTGGTTGAGCGAAGCTGAGGAATCTTCGGGTCGAATGATTCTCAAGTGTTTCATATCCTCGTGGCATGCTGCAGTGAAAGCTAACAAATCTTGACAGCTGAGGGACGACGGCACAGCCAATAAACACACTTGTTCTGATCTTTGAGCCTCGTCTTCCATGGAGGTCAGTTCACTATTTAAAGAAATAATTAATTGCAAAGGAAAGAATAAATAATTTATGCAATACTGCATAAATAGTATTTTAATGGAGATGGATTAGAAATTAAGATAATTTTTTAAATGAATTACTGAAATCAAAAATATAAGAATTTATGATTGAGAGCTTCATAACGATCTGTATTATTTAAAAAAATAACAACATTCTTTCAATAATCGAGATAGGTTCTTACTTTTCTTTGTAAAGATGTAGTATTCCTTTGGTAACTTCCACAAATGGGTTTCCAGAAACAAAGGCCACTGGTTCCGAACCACCAGTCTTGCTCGAAGACGCCACCGTTTCAGCAATCGACGAACTGTCTCCTGTTGAATCTATTGTTTTTTTTTTTATATATAATTAGAGCTACATGTTGATTGGAATATGTGTGTGCGGACCTGCTGGCTGGGGTGTTTGCTCCTTGCTGCTGCAGGGCGAGTTGACTGGCGGTGAAGAGGACGCAATGGGGCACAAAACAGTCTCCACCCGCATTGACCTCATTTCCCTCTGACCCTTCTGCTTCTTCGAGTCTCCGCCACTCAGCAGTTTTCCTTTGGGATTCACTCGACTGGCCATTCTACGATGTTGGTACTTTGGAGCTTTAAAGTAAAAATGGCACAATTAAAATAAGGTCAAGACTACAAAGAAGCGAGATTAATTTATGTACGCCGTAGTAACTTTTCTGTTGCGAAACAAATACAAATATCAGAACTTTGTTCATGCATTTAAATGTGAAGAGATAATATGAAAGTTAAAATTTAACTTAAATTCGTTACTCGGCGAATTAATTATGAATGTTTAGAGCAGACCTGTGTAGGAAAGGTGGTCTAGAAGTGGGTACTCATCGCCTATTTCCAGGCGAAATAGGCACAGCGAAACCCCAAAAGACATTACATAAGCTCGAGCATTGATTTTGACAGCGCCAACTTAATACTTTTCGCGAATAGTGCGTCCACGAATTCCGCTGTCAAAAGGTTTGGGAAGAAGGACAATAAAAGCTCCAGGTGGGTCTGATCTTTAGAACGCAGCAGAGTCAAAGTCAAAAACCAAAACAAAATGCAGCTGCAGCAGCAAGGGCGCCTCTAGCGCTGAACGCTGAACCTAGGATTTACGCAGAAATGAGTATTTTTGCGGCGGCAAAACGGCAGAGTGCACGCGCGATTATAAATGTTCTTTCTCACTATTCGTGCAGATTTGTGGTCTATTGGAGCAGAAAAACCGTATACATTTCCTAAATTTCACAACCGTCAGTAAAAGTAAATAGTTTTTAGCCTATAATACATACACTACTATAAATTTATATATATTTCAAAAAAATAAACCCATGTGTTGTTTTGTTTGCTAGCGAAGAGCCACATCTCCATTCACTTCTGTAAAGAACATTTTTCACATATATTTTCAGTCTTTTATTAATTAATTTCGTGTATTGACTTGATGTAAGATGCTGTGTATTTCAATGCATTGAATGGAGAATAAATATATAATTAATTTTGAATTGAATTAAATCTGCTTTGAACATACAAAAGTTTTTTTTATCAAAGTTTAGTGTTCCAAATAACTTTTATTCTTTTATAAATATGATAAAAAAAATTTTAATTTTATTTAATTGTGTAAAGATTCTTTTAACATTAAAAAATCCTTTTCAAATTGTAAGTGGCGAAAAGAAGTAAAATTCGCCCTCTTTTTACTCCGCCCGAAGAACATTTATTTTAGTCTTTCTTTTTGAAATATGAAAAAGAGTAAAGTAAGGAAATAAGGTGAAAATAAAACTGGGGTTTCGAGAGGTGACTTCAGAAAAATTGATTAAAAAAAGTTAGCTAGAAATGATCCAAATTGTCTGTCAGAGATTTTTAGACCGTCACTAAAAAAATTTGATTTGTCACGACAAAGTCAAGGTTGGGCCAGGGCTCTGGGGATGGGGTAAAAAAAAATGTGTCAAAAAAGTTAGCTACAAATGATCCAAATGGTCTGTCCAAGATTTTTAGATGCTTGCTAAAAAACATTTTTTTTTCTGTCGCGACGAGGTCAAGGGTGGGCCAGGGTTCCAGGGGTGTGAGGTAAAAAAATGTGTCAAAATGTTAGCTAGAAATGATTCAATTGGTCTGTCCGAGATTTTTAGATGGTCGTTAAAAAACATTTTTTTCAGTCGCTACTAAAAGTCGAGGGTGGGCCAGGGTTCCTTGGGTGTGGGGTAAAAATAAATCTGTCATAAAAGTTAGCTAGAAATGATTCAAATGATCTGTCCAAGATTTTTAGATGGTCGTTAAAAAACATTTTTTTCTGTCGGGATTTCGAGGGTGGGCCAGGGTTCCAGGGGTGAGGGGTAGAAAATTTTTATAAAAAAAGTTCGCTAGAAAAGATTAAAATAGTCTGTTGTACAAGATTTTTAGATGGTTGCAAAAAAAGTTTTTTTTACTGTCGAGATGGGTCGCAAGTCTCAAGGGTGGGCCAGGGTTCCTCGGGTGAGGGGTAGAAAAAAATATTTCAAAGAAGTTTAATTGCTAGGGACACTGTCTGAGATTTTTAGATGGTCGCAAAAAATCATTTTTTTTCTGTTGGGACTTGCGTTATGTGTAGGCTTGCCATCGTGACGGAAACAGTAGCCAGCTCTTCGAAAAATTTACTTAAACTCGAATAGGTATAATTTTAATTCAAAAGCAAAATAAATATTCCAATCAAACAGCCTCCTGGCCAGGCTGCACGGAACTTGAAAAAAAAAACGGAAAATTAATCATCACATTGGATGTTAACTAGAAATCACTAAAAATAGTGTATGCAGAACATTAATTATTTTTGAGGGTATTTAATTATCCGAATGCCTTTGTTTCTTTTTAGTTTTATTGAGCAATAATTAACTTTAAAATTTAAGTCTACATAATTATGGGTTGACCCGCGCTGGCAAGCCTATATATAACTAAACTTGTCATGACTGTATGCTGATGTGTGTCAAAACGTTTTGTAAATATTTTGGCTTTTAGGAAAATAATTAAAATATATTATTAAATTTTATAATTTACCTCATTTAGTATTTTATTTAAAATTAAAGTAAAAAAGTTCGGTTCCCATCTAAAAATAAGAAGCATAACCATGAAAATTAGCCGAAAATTCAGCTTTCAGTGCTGCTTTCTTTTCCAACATTGTTCTGTAATCAACTTTTAAGAAGACAAAAGCGAACTGCATATAATACGTACGGAAAATTTATTTTAATTTCGTGGAAAAAATTCCTTACTTAAGTCATCTCATATTTTTTTAATTTTTCATATATTCCAAGTTTTCAAATGCCATTCAACTTTTCAAATAAGCAAGAATGTCCCACCAACAAATTTATTTAAAAAGAACTTTTATCAAATTTCTTACTCCGTATAAAGAATCTTTGAAGCTATAGTTGAATTAGCAGAATTAGTGGAAATAGTAATTATATTATTTTTATTGAAATAAAGTTTACATTTTGAGACTTTATGAGTAGCCTGTATCGACAAAAGAGTACAATACGCATGTCATGCTGACGATTTGTTAAATATTCTAAATATTCATCCACTGAATATTGCGCGTATTTTAAGAATTTACTTTCATACTACATTCTACAGATTCATGCCATGCCACGTACAAAAATAGCAACGCATATTATGAGCTAGTGGAGCGCCGCGTTTATTAACAGAGAGACAATCATTTGCAGGCCGGGTGGTGAGACATGTAATAGAAAACTCGCCACAGGACAGAGCAGAATTGTATCGGTCTTGTCTCTCCAAGGGTATGATTATATAGCACGTGATATGAAAAGCATGTGTCTACTAAAAATTTTGAGGCATAAAATTAATAATAATTTGTATGGCAGGAAGGTTTTGAGATTTCTTAATAAAAAATAAAAATAATAATAAAAAAACTGAAAAATCATTAAAAAAAGTTTTTAGAAACTGCTGGTGTGTTTTAAAGCGCAAAATAAATTTTTTGGAACCTTCATTAAAGAAAAAAAATCACGTTGATCCCCTCTAATTATGATCCGTAAAAAAGATTTGCGCTTAAGGGGGTGCGAGAGACTTAATTAAGAATAACGGACACTATAAATATTAATGTTATACATTTTCTTTCAAAATAAAATAATTCATATAATTTTATAAATTTTATCGACTTGAACATATTGAAAATCATTCGAACATCACTGTAATCATAGGCAATAATTAAATTAAATATAAATAAATAAATTACACTACGCACAACTAATAAAATTGACGACGAAATAAATATGGAAATTGAATAGCTGCGAAATAGAAGTTATCGGAAACGGCGACGAAATAGAATGGGGTAAGCAAATGGAAAATCAAATAGAAATGGAACGATTCTACCTTATATAGAATTAGAGCCCACCAAGTTTTGCGCCGAAATGAGGATTTTTGCGGCGGCAAAACGGCAGAACACTCGCTTGATTTATAAGTAATATGTTATGATATTTCATATATGAATCGTGCAGACTTGTGGTCTATTGGAAGTGCATGAAAAACCACCTAAATTTCACCACCGTTACAAAAAGTAAATAGGCTAAACACATGCACTAAAAAATAACTCGTGTTGCACGAAAACGTAGACAATTCATGTTGTCATGTTAAAAAAAAAAATAGTCGGAGGTCAGAACTTTTACATGCGCTATTCAGCAGCAGCAGGAATATTATTTTTATAACAATTGAGAACAAGAACATCATTTTTATTTTTCTGACCTAACGAGAAAGTACGCAATTATCTTTTCTGACAAGGAAGATTTTTAAAGAGTGAAATTTTTTGTTTTGTGTTGAGTACGTAAATTGCAGAATGCAAAGAGTCCGAGGTGTCCGATGATCAAGACAAAAGATGATAGGATCATCCAGCAAAGTGCAATGCTGTTGGCAATGCCAAGTGCTTGTGTGCGGACTTTTATTTGTGTTAATTTTCTAAATTCATAAATTCTTTTGCATGTTTTATTAAAAGTTTATCAAAATGCAACCAAAGAAACTACACTATTTTAACTATACAATATAACAATAGGTTGGGTCGTCAAGATTAAAAAAAAAATCTGTTAGCAAAAAACAATCTATGTTTTATTTTGCTCTTCAAACAGTTATAATACACCGACACGGCAATTTCTAAAAATGATATATCTTTTGCTGTAAAGACTTTTCTAATGATTTTCAGGGTTTTTAAAAAAAAAACATGATGAAATGGTTTAGAGGGTTGTTACAAAAGGCTATTCTAAAATTAATGTGAATGCATAATTGTAATGAAGAGAGTTGAAATTGAACAAATTAAATAGATTATTTTTCATTATATATAAAACCTCAAAAATCCCACATTTTGAGTAACATTAGTATTTTTTTACAGCATTTTAAAAGTCAACATTCAGTAGTTCATCTTTGACACTTTTTTTTATATAATCAGGTCCAGTCACAAAACATTATTACATTGATTATCAAGCCATCCAATTGTGGCATTTATCGTTTTTTTTCCCCCATTTAAAATATGATCTTTCTTTGTGCGCTCAATTTGCAATAAAAATAGTTTTTATTGCAATCTGGCGCGTCAGAGGCTTGTCTTTTATCAAGAGATTTTCTTACATGCACATGTATTTACAGCGTTTTTTTCTGGTATGTACACTTAAAGTAGGATTGATTAGTGTTTATTTTTTTACTCATTGCAATAGAAAATTTCATAGGAAAACACTATGAGTCAACTATATCAAGTTTCAAGCACCATTTTTACATTCGAAAAGTAAAAAAAGTAAAAAATAAAGATTAAAAATGATTGCAAAAAAAAACCTTTAATTTGAAAATGCGCAGGAGGTCCAATGGCAGTGAAAACCGATTTGCAACAATTATAAAAAAAGTGTTTGAAGCTCGCAATTGAATCATTGGCTATCAGAGGATCATATTAGGCGCAGCTTTTTGTTAAAAAATTTAAATTTTGTCAGTTGGTCTCCTTGTTAAAGAAATTAAATGAAATACCGAGTCTTGCATGATGTGCTACGTTGTACAAAAGTGTGATGCAGCATTTTTTCCATACTTTGGAAAAGGGTTTGTTCAAAAATATTGTTTATGTAACAAATTCTAAATGAAATGTTTGTCATAAAAAAACTATAATTTATAAGAACTTGACATGATTATTGGCGGCAACACTGAGAAAAATGTAACGAGTCTCTTGCTCTCTCCAGCACACACTGGGGTACACACACCAAATATCCACATTGGCATTTCAATATATCTATTTTTTTTTGTCAACATCTCTGACCGCCAGGAAACGGCTGACTATGATCAGAAAGACATTTCCACGCCGGTATCACAACAGGAACAGCAGCCGTCCTCCTTCGATTATTGTTGCTGTCACATGAAAACGTCCTCGACACCGGCCAACTTGTTTCTATTGGGCGTCAGGTCGTCCTCAAAGGTCACCATCTTCTCCCTGCCGACGCCAACCATGCGCTGTTCGGAGGGCATTCTGCGCGGGGTCGTGTTGCAAAGGCGACCGCCTCCGACCAACGCTGGCAAAGGACCCACGCTGCCATCCACCTGAAGTGCAAAAGTCAATACTATAAAAAAGTGTTAGTATGTTTTATAAATTAAATTCAAAATATTAAAAAGTTTTGGCATCACAAAGCATAATAAAAAAATATATGGTGTATTTCATCAATTCAAGAAGACCTTGTCTTATAAAAAGATATAAAAATTAATTTAATGAAAGTACAATTTTTATTTGTAGATTTAGTATTTTCTCATATCACAATTACCTACGTATTTATTCAGACATAAGAGTATTAAATTCATTGTGAAATTTCCAAGATTATAGAATTTTTAATGAAAAAAAATCTCAATGGATTGCAGTCAGAAAATGTGAAATTTCAATTTCAAACTTCAATTTCTAGCTTCCTTTTGAATTTAAAGTAACCAAACAAGCAGTTAAATTACCATTTTGAGCATTTTGCAACTAATTTACATCAATAAATTTAAAATAAAGTACATTTTTCAATTAAAAATAACAGAAAAAATAATACAAGAAAATAAAATAAAAAAGCTTTTGATTTTGCCAGAGTGAGCGTGCAAAATTCATAAACTTGCATGATACAATAAAAATTTTAAACTTTCTTCTTATATTTTCTTACATTATCAATTAATATTTTTATTTATTTATTTTTTCGAAAAATATATAGCACCTTATCTTTTCATAAGTAATAGATAATATTATATATTATGAAGCAAAAAAGAAATTGAACAAGAAGGTCTATTGAAAATTCTAACCAGGGGTGGCGGGGGGATGATTGTGGAGGAGGCGTTGTTGAGGCTGGTTTCGCTGAGCGCCGGCAGGTTGAAGTCGCTGACGCTGCGCGGCACAAAGTACTCGACCGTGGCCGCCTGTCCGGGGCTGATCATGTCTGGGGGGCGGCGACGCGGAAGACTGTGGTGCAGGGCGGCGGTCGGTGGAGGCGTCAGCATCGTGTCTGAGGTGCCCGGCAGGTCGGGGTTGGTGCGTCAGGAGGTGCCGGACACCACGGCCATGGCCAGGTCGTCGACCTCCGACTCAGAGTGCTCTTCGTGGTGGCGCCTTCGGCGCCGCCGCACCAGGCCGCAGATGCGGCCCATCCTGCGGCCGACGGCCACCACCTCGTCCTGCAGCAGGTTGAAGCACATGGCGATCAGCGCCATGCCCACCAGCAGATATGCCGATGTTGACAAAATCGACACCTGCAAATACGATGAAAATAATTAATATTTTGGTTGCAAGCGTGAAATTTGAAAGGAAATTATATTTTATGCGTAAACAAAATTGATTGACCTCATTAGATAATAATTCATTTAAAGAATTTAAATTTCATGATAATACAATTTTGTGAAATTTTGTACAACGTCGACACCAATAGAAAGCTTAAACTTCCGAGATCAAATAGACGTCTACCCCATTTGCCATTGAACGCCTGGTTCATATAGTTTGTAATTTAATCATTAATGTGTTAATACAATTCAGAATTGGAAAGCATCAAGTTTACACGTTTAATGTGATGATACAGTTTTATTTTACCTTTATTGAATTAAAAAAGTTTTATATATTTATTGAATATCAATTGATATAAACCAAAGTATGGAATTGAGTGCCTGTAAATTTTCAAGTACGCAACACGCTCATCAAACACATTTCAATGTTTAAAATGAGTTCCATTGCAATTATAGAAATGACAAAAAAAAATTGAATGAAGAAATTAATAAATGTCTTTTGTCCATAAATATACATCTTCAAAATTATCAAAAGAAATATAAGCTTTTGTGTTTTAAGAGAAAAAATTAACTAGAAATAAAAAAGCAGCCTTTCAACTGCCGAGACTCAATTCAATTTAATTCAACTCTCACAACAGGTCAATTATTATTTTTGGGGGGGAAAATTACATTGAAGAGAGAATTGGCAGCCAGCCCTAGTAAACAACTTACTAAAACTCATAAGCTTAATTTGAAAGCAAAAGTGTTTCCAAATTAAACCTACTTGCCGAGCTGGAGCCGAAAAGGGAAAAAATTTTAAACAACAGTCACATATGCAATTTTTAACTGAGAAACTATACAATTTTTTAACGCAGAGGGCAGGGAATTCCACTGATTTGCAATTTGGAAAGAAAAACTTTGTAGACAGAGAGCTCTGCTGTGCGACTCTTGAAATATTCTTAAACTGATTGATCCGTTAAAACATAATTATATCAATACCTGCGCGTTTTTGGCCGGCATGTTTGGCTGCGCGCCGGGCAGGAGGTCGCCAAAGCCGATGGTGCCGAGACTGGTGAAGCAGAAAAAGGAGCCCTCGAGCAGCGACCAGTTCTCGAGTTTTTGGAACAGCATCGCGCCTCCGCCGATGTAGGCCGCGATCAGCGCCAAGCACAGTGTCATCGGCACTCGCTGCCGCTGCGGGTGGTGATGTTGCAGCACAAAGTTTTGCCGCGAGTCGGACGGCGTGTCCGCGGGGAAGTCGAGCGGGTGGTTGCGCTCCAGTTTGACCAGTTCTTCTTCGGGGTGCAGCTTCAGGCCCCCGTCCACGCTGTTCTGCTTGGAAGAAATGTGACGCACCCTGGTGCAAAAAAATTTCATTAGCTCTCCAATTAAATTAAAATCTGTTGATATTAATATTTTGGTCATCAATGATAATTAAAAAAAAATTGACTTTTTCCAAATAAATTTAAATATCAAAATTTTTAAAAATAGATACACTTAAAATGAAATGCATGGAAGATTAAGAAACATGGTAATTTTTTATTTGTTTAAAATGAGAATTTTCTTATTTTTTTTTAGTAAATATAAAAATGAAATCATATTTATTATTTATTATTCTTATTCACAAATCAAGTCATGGAGAAGAAAATATAATTAAATCAGATTCATCTACTTATTCTGATTGCCAAAATTTTAACTTTTCAATTCAAGTGAAGGATTCCCGACCTGTAGTTATCGTTGGGTGAAGGTTTTCCGCTATTGTTGGCCGAACTGTTGGTCGAACTGCCGCCGCCGCTGCAGCTACACAGCTTGCCGTAGAGACGACGGAAGTTCCTTGCGAGCAGGTCGCCCACCGTTGACAGGTAAACGAGCATCAAGGGGATGCCTACAAGCGCGTAAACTATGGTCACGATGCGGCCCCATGTGGTTTTCGGCGTTACACCACCATAACCTGAAACACGGGCAAAATAATTATGGCTTTTTGCGATGACGATTAAGTTTCTGAAGGCAAATTTTTCAATTTTATCAAGTAGCATGATATATTATGACCTTAGTTTTGCAAGATTTTGACAATTGCAAAGAAGTTAATTGCTAATTTCATGTATCATTTTTGTTTTTCATAAAAATTATATAATAAATTAAACAAGTTTGTTGTAGATTTTCACGATCCATGGTGATTTCGGCTTTTCCTCAATGGGGTTTGAGAGTTGTTTATTGTTAAAAAAAAACGAGTTATTTTGAAAAACAAAAAATAATAATTAAATTAATTTTATAAAAAAGTTTCCATCAAATAATCAGGGGTTATTTTTTCTTATAAAAATCCTTTACAGTTACAATGTTCCTTAAAATTTTCAAAAATTTGACAATTATTTTTGGAATTATTTTTAAAATTTTAATTTGTATAACAATTTTGGTCAAAATAGAGAAACATGTGTTTTGAGCGTACCTTTCTCAGTAGAGGTCAAGAGAAGACTAAATTATTTTTTTCAAGTTTTTCAAAGGGATTTTTTTAATGAAGGCAATGAAGCAATAAAATCCTCTCCCAAGAGAATTAATTTACTGAGTTTAATTTAAATAAATTAATGTAAAATGTATTGTAATTTATAAACAACAAAATAAGTTTCTCGCATTTGTTTACTGGAATCCACGTGTCGACGAGTGTAGCATTTTTTTTCAGCTTTTTTATCATGCTCGAAAGGCGGACTTCATTTTTCATGCGGCGGCGGCTGCAACTTTTCAGGTGGGATTAAAAACGAATTTAAATTTCGGCTTGCCATGCCTGATGCTACATGATTGCGTTTCGCCGGGAGCTCCATTAATAATACGCCTGTCTTGACGTTACTATTATAACGTTAAAAGCATTCTGCGCCTCGCACACCGCGCGCACTTCTCCGGCTTTTTATTCAATAATAATCAGGTGGTTTGCGTTAAAAGCATCGCCGGGTTTTTCGGGGAGCCCAATCGCTTCCCACGCCGCGCCCCGCCAAAGTAGCCTTCTGAATTAACAAAGTATTTCTCAAAAGTGAAACATCAAAAGCGCTTCTATGGATGGTGTATCGACTGTTGCGTTCAAATAACTTTTCCGATACTTTATACCCTCTCACCACCCTAAATCTTTTGTTGCCGATCATTTATCATATTGGCGTGCGGTTAGCAGAAAACGGCTGATATTTTATACTGCCTTTGAAGTTGCTTCGAGCGTCATAATTTCGATTTGTGAATTATTGCTTCGATTGGAAAACCATAAATATATCAAAATATTTAATACAAAGTGTCGATCAAAATATGAGATATTTTATTTCTATTTATATTAATTTTTTATTTTACTTTCATAAAGAATTTTGAAAAATACAGTATTATTTAGTACATATTAAAACATTGAGAATATTTGGTAAAATAAAATGACCTTTTAGAGTTCATAGCTTGAATAAAATGATTGTTTAATTGAAAAGAAGCGCCTTGTGCATACATAAAAAACAAATTACAGATCGAAGCAAACAGAAAAAAGAGATGTGCTTTAATACTTTAATTTTAGTGTCACCTTGTTTGGTAAAAATCAGACTGGTAAAAGGGGAAAGTAAAAATTATTCACGACAATATTGGACAAAATTAAAGAACAAAAATTTAAACCATTTTTAAACTAAGATTTTTTTACACCAAATTTATTTCATCACTTTTCACTTTTCCGAGGTAACTTTTTCGGTTCGGTTTCAATTTTTTCCCTTCAAGGATTCGTGCAACGTTGCTCTATTGCCGAGTGTGCCTGGCCGGCATGCTTTATCTGCTCACAATCTGAAGCATCTGTTACCAATGGCGGCGTCAGAAAAATAGAAAGAGACGAGACCTTTTGGCCAAGGACCAAATACAAGGGAAACTCGGTTGGAATTTTTATATTGCATTAAGAGCGAAAGGGATGCTGCCGGGGCGGCTTAGATGGGCTCCCCTTGCCTGCCCTGCCGCCGCCGCCTCGCGAGAGAGTTCTTCGATTTTCTTTCATTTGATCAACTGACTCTTTGCCGGCCGTCTCCAGTTCGTCTATAATCGAATTACGTCCTGATCAATAACTTTGCGCCTGAGAATTCCACCGCGACAGGAAAAGAACGTATCGAGTTTCTCATCATGTTGCCATTTGAATCCGTGCAGGGGTGCGAAAAAGTGCGATAATATGAGTCCCATTGATTTTGAAACTGCTCTTTGGGGAGCCATGATTTTGTATTAGAGCCAAAAAGTGATGATGAAACTTAGGGGAAGCAGGGTTGAAATGTTTTTAAAATTATTGAATTCTCACACAAAGTCTACCCTTATTTATTTCCATTATATTTTGTTCAAACGAGCCAGAATAATATATTATAAAAAATTATTAAATATAGTACAAAAGTGAAGAAAACTGGTGTTTTCCTTGTTGAAATAAAACGAGTTTGAAAAGAATGTGGTAATCCAATGTTAAAATCAGCATTTATGCAAGAAAACGGCTGGTTTTTATTTATTTTAATTTTAAAGGAAATAAATAAATAATAATGTAATTCCTAAATATTGAATTTTAATTATGCTGTTCATGTTTGTATTATTTGCACGTCAAATGTTAATAAAAAGAACATTGTTGTCCTTCGATTAAAACAATGAAAAGTAAAAATGTAATTATTAAATAAACTTCCAGCTTTCTCAAACATTTTGTGATAAAAACTAAAAAATTAATTAACAAATGATATAAAAACATCATTTCTAATTGCCATACGACATGGTTTTGCTTTCGGTTGCAATTTCGTTTTTACTTTTCAGCAGCCCAAGTAAATGTTTAATATGAAGTACCAGAGGACGAGTTTTAGCTCCACAATGGTGTAATCCGGCCAAATGAAAATGATACAGAATTCAACTAAATAATGGCACATCCGCGAATTGCAAAAAAAAGAGCGCTCGCCAAAAATTCCGCAACGCTATCGGAATCACGTGAAATATTATCAGTGGCGAAACAAACCAGCGCAGCGCATGATTGAAAAAAAGTACGAGCACATGCAGAGGCGCAATTTGCCCACGAGGAAATTAGATTTCATATCAATGGAATTTTAATCAACTGATATATTCGCCGAGCATATTATTTTTGCAAGGGAAACTGCCTGCCTCGTCGGGCATTATTATTCCAGGATAAAGCCATTGATGTGTTGGGATGAAAAAGAGAGAGACGAGGCGAGCAGGCGGTGCGCTTGCCAGAGAGATGGAACAACTTCATTAGTGCCAACCAGCCCCACCAAGGCACAAATTAAAGCCTCGAGCTGACTTGCTGAAATCTCCGGCGCCGATTTATCAGCCCGAAAAAAGGCAAAAACTCCATTAACACCGACGTGACATTTTTCAACTGGGGGATTTCCAATGTCTGCATGTCTGGTCGTTGGCTTTGCGAAGGTATTGAGACAATTGGTGCGGGAGGGAATGACAATTTCGGCGATGGCGCAGGGCTCTAACGTGAAACGTTTACAACCGAGATTAAAATAATGAAAACTCTCCCCCTTGATGCTAAAACTCATGGCTTCAACGAAAGTGGTAAAAAATTATTAAAACGTCAAAACTAGCTCTTAAATATTTTTCAAATTTTCAAACAATTTATCTTACTAAAATAATGAGTTAATATTCTTAGCATCTTTTTACATAAAAAGTGGTTATTTTTGTGACTATAAATACTAAAATGAGGTTAAATATTTTATTATAAAAAAATACCAATAAATAATTGAAGGACTTTTGTGATTTCCAAAAGAAATTGTAATTTTTTTGAATATTGCGTTTGTGCTTTGTTGAAATCACTATGTTGCATTGCATTTTTTTGTGTAAATAAATCTCTAATCTGAAATACCATACTAAATATTTAAAAAAAAAAAACATTCAATTAAATTGAATTTTATATCTTGTTTTTCGCATAAGAAATATTTTGGTTTTGCATATCATTAAGGCAAATAATGGTTCTTATCATTATCTTGGATTCCTACAAATGTGATTTTCAATCACATCATGAAAAAAATGCACAAAATAATTATTTCCAATCCGTCTTGCCGCTCTCGCAAATATTGATCAACACACGGTACTCCTTTGTTCTCAGCGAAATATTATCGTTCATGATGCTCCGTCTGAAAATAAATAAAACGTGCATTTTTTCCTCTAACAAAAGGTACATAAATGCAAAAAATATCATCAAAAGAGAGTCGAGCCCAAGTGCGAGGCGGAGAGAGCCTGTGAGAGGAACACGCGGCAGTGCAACAAAAGAGCGAGGGATGAAATTCAGGCCTTTGAAGTCGGAAGGTTCTGCTCATTCTCCCTCTCTCGCTCTTCACGGAAAGTCTTGATAATTAATTTCCACCGTGAATGCCCGTTCTGCAGCCAGCAGTTCTCGTGAGTTAAATTGTACACGGTGCTGCACAAGACTGATATTATAGAGTTGGAAAATGGAAAGGAGGAAGTGAATGCCAGATGATGCTCACATATATGAATATTGTATCAATATTTGAATTGAATATGTTTTTCGACTGAAGAGAAGTTTGGTTTTTGTAATGGATAAAATTGCATAAAATGAAATTAATATAATGCATCTTTTAACTTGGTGAAATCATATTTCTAATAAAATCTTATATAATAGGCCAAATTTTCCATTTTCCTGAATCTTAATTTCAAGGGGTAAATTAATTAAGATTCTACCCTGATATTGATTAAAGGGTTCAATTTTCAGTAAATATTTTGTAAATAACAATTAAGCAGAATAAAAAATTTGTTACTTTCTAAATTATTTCTATATCCTAAACCAGGCAAATTAAAACTTTTTTCAATCGTTTTAAACCAGAAAACAGACTGCTTGGGAAATAAAATTTACAACTGCTTGCCAGGTTTTAGAGGTTCTTAAAAAATAAGATTTCATTTCCTGCTAAAAAGCCGGCTTGCTTTCTTTCTTCCTGCCAAGCCTTCTCAGCC